TAACTGGACATTAATACTCCTAAAACTTTATTGATTACTCTGGCTATTCTTTAAACAGATAAACAACCAGCACTTTTTTTTTTTAGCTTAAAATCACTCGATATTTTAATTGATATATATTTTCTTCATTTATTAGTAATGTTAAAAAAAAAAATTAAATCACTTGTGTTATTTCCCAATAAATCAATTATAATTTAATTAAAAAATAAAATACTAAAAATAAGCTCGCGAATTTAATTAATTAAATGATAATTACAATTTAAATGAAATTAGTATTTTTCTTATAATATATAATTAGACGAAAAAGATTAAAACTGAATAAAAATAGAATTTAATTACATTAACTGTCAAGAATAAGAGATTTCTTTTGTTCTTATTGTTCTTATTGCAGAGTATTGATCTTATCCATTCAATTTTATTTTATATTTGAAAAGGAAATTTAAAGACAAAGCAATTGAAAAAAACAATAAACAATATAGATTAAGTAATAAAGTAAGAATGCTAATTCGATATTTAATTATTTCTTGACGTGTATAAAGTTTTGAAACTTTGTCGTTATTCATCAGCGTTCCGATGATGGTACTGGTGCTGCTGCTGCTGCTGCTGCTTCTTGAAACCCTCTTCGGAATGTCATTTAAAGTTGTCAAGTATTTACATCACATTAAATTAATTTAACGTAATACACAGACAGCCTCCATGAAAATTTTAATCAAAATACCTACTACTGTCTTTATATATCATTTATATTCAATATATACTATCTTTATTTTGTTGTTTATTGATGATAACTGATAAAAATTGTTTTCAATTTCGTTTACTATTAATTATATAGAATTTGAATTTGAATTTAAAAAAATATAACAAATATATCATATATAATAGAGAATATGACATATATTTCATTTTATCCATTTATTTAATTAAACTCGGGGCTTTATTAAGTTCGATATTGTCTGAATATAATCCTTCATATATATACCAAAGCAACTTACTTTGATGTTTATTAAAAAAATTTTTTTAATTAATATTTAGAAATTAAAATTTTATTAATTAACAAAAAAGCATATCCATTTTATTTATAATACCGACAGACTATACCACGTACGCCCCAATTTATTATTTTATCATTATTTTTTTTTTTTTTTTGTAAATAATAACAATATTGTGATATATTTGTTTTAATTCAACGTTTTATTATACATTATTGCGATTGAATTAATTAATTTATTTATTTATTTATTTATTGACTCGTTGTTGAGTAGAGAAAACTAGAGGGATACACATAAAAAGCAAATTAATTACACAATAAATTGGACAGTGAAGCTATGATAAATGATCTAATGTATTAAATATATCTATACAAGTATTTATTAATGTCGTAAATAATTAACGGCAACATTGTCAGTAGCCCGGTATATTTTATTTTTATTTAATTTTTGCTGGTGCTGCTGGTGCTGCTGGTGCTGCTGGTGCTGCTGGTGCTGATGTTGATAGCGAGTATAGTATCGCTTTTATGCTTTTATAGGCAACAGCACAAATTGTTACCAACATTATCAATTTATTATCCCTCTTATGTACTCGGCGATGTCTATTTAATTATTATTATTTTTAAATAATTAATAAATGTGTCGCGATGTATATAATATACATTAGATGGATAATATATAATATATGGATCAGATATAGTTTGTAAGTGGAATTAGTGTGGAATTGGTCTGGCTTATTGGTATGCAATAAACAGTGGTCGAGCGAACCAAATATTTTGCGGTAGCAAGGGGTTGAGAAACTATTTTAACAATTTAAACATAAATCGGTGGTAAGTTAGAGCAGTGAGTTAAACTTTTGGCATCGGAAATACTTATAGAGAAGGGGGCTAGGATTCTATAATAATATACAAAAATATATCTTTTTTTTCTTAATTATTTTTTATTTTTTATTTTTTATTTTTATCCCTATAAATATTTAAGTATATTAAATTAAACGTTTAAAGTTATGCTAAATGTTTAAAACTTTTTTCATTTTTCATTTCTATTCTGCTTGCGTCGTCAAAGATTATATACATCGTTATGTAAAACAAAATTATATTCCGCGTTTTACATTCATCTGTCTTTGACAGAAGAGATGGCAACTTGGTGGTTAGAGAATATGTACGTGGTGAAAGAGTGAAAGAGAAAAAGATAAACTGAAAAACGTTTTATATTATACAGACAAGAAATGAATAGGTTATAATAGCAGCAGGCGGCAGTGGCAGTGTCTAAAGAATTCCAAAGCCAAAAGAGAGCATCAACCTATATAACAGAAAATAAAATGTATGACCTGTGAGCTAGTACACTGCGGGTATATACTATTACACTATTGTACTAAAAAAAAAAAAAAAAACCAAAAAACCCATGAGTTATCGCGGATCGCGGGGCATTCATAAATAGCCACACCAAAGGATGCTTTGTTACTTGCAAATCTATCTCTCTCTTTCTTACATCTCACCCACTCTAATATTAGTTGCATGTGTCTACCAATATACGACATTTGTCGCCGTTAATTTATAATATAACCTTCATTGTCTTGATCTTTATTACCTTAAAAATAATTATTAATATATATTTTTTTATATAAAGATCAGAGATTGATGAAAAAATAAAAATTTTGTTGTTATTTTTTGTTTTGCCCTTTTAAAATGAGTGTACTCTCACTCACTTGGTCATGTCTCACTGGTTGTTCTCTCCATACTCTATATACTCTACATTTCCACTTGGGGGGGGGGGGGGGGGCTAATGTGATAAATTCCTCGAGCGCCATCTTCTGTGAGCGTCTTCAACAAAAGCCACTTGAATGGACTGCTGGCACTGGGGTCAAACGAATGACGAGTGTACTGCTTTTGTTGGGTTTAACTTAACATTTTTTTGTGTTACTCACAATACTTTCTCCTGCATTTCCATTTGAGATTCTTTTTTTTTGCTCTTTGTCTAACTCAAGTACTTTTTTTTTTTTTTTTTTTTTTCATTTTTTTCATTTTCCACCCGGAGTTGCGCTTAAAGGGAAAGAAGCTCGAGAGCACTTAAGCGATTAGTATATGTAAGAAACCAACCCGGGTGTTGTAGGGAGCAAGGAAGGGAGGGGGAGGAATTAAAGCTTTTTAAACTTTTTATGACCGGCTAAAAACTATAAATACGCTCGAACAATAAGCTTTCGAAATATCAACCGTAAATTGTTGTGAAAATTTATCTTTATTTTTCATTAAAAAGAGTTAAATGCTGTAAATTATATCCTAATTTTGTCATTTATTTAATTTTACTTAATTAATTAATGTATTGAAATAATTAAATTTTACAAAATTATTTAAAAAAAGTAATTAATTTATAGACATAAAAAAAAAAAAAATATTTGTTGGTATTATTATGATGGTATAATTTAAATAAAAATAAAATATAAAATGAGGATATTTGAAAGGAAATAAATGTTTACTCGTAAAGCTTAAGTACCACCCAGTGGTATCTTTTAGATAGTGAGCCCTGTGGCTTTTCAGCCATTCACATTTTAATAGACGAGTATCAGGAGAACGGGGATAGGTAAGCGGAGAGGGTGAACATCAACAGTCTCTATATACCACTACCACTACCACTATCACCGCTGACACTACTACTATTACTATCTTTTTTTTTTATATAGGGGTGATTATATGTAATTGTGTATGTATATAAAGAGAAAGATTGAATAGGTCGTAGGATCTTTTTAATAACATTTATGATGTAAAAGTTATAACCTGGACCAGTAATATACTAATAGTCTACTAAATTTGAAACAATCCAAAATCGTTATATTATAGTCATCGCTCAACGCGTTGTTTAAATTATTGTCACCTATACTTGTATTTCTACCTCGACTTAATACCCTACATAGGCCTGTACCTAGGAGCTGGTTTACTTCTCATCATATACCAGCAAACGTTAAACTTTCGATTACGTCGGCAGTTATCTATCTATATATATATACAAATAACTTGAATATTGCTCGGCGTTACTCGGTATATCGATACATGTGCAGTGTTGCACATAACACACACCAGTTGCCAGTGTCGGCAGTCGGCAATCACCATTCAAATGGATTCTCAACACGCCACCATTTCTACCAGTAAAGCTAGTATGTAGGGTGTTGGCAGTTAGCAGCTACCAGCTATCAGCTACCAGCTACCATCAGCTATATCAAGTAGTAGTAGTAGCATTGCTTTGTCTGACATTTGCCTTCACCAATTTGGGTGAGTGGAATATCACATGAAATATTCAACAATTCTCCTCCACTATCCCCGGCTGCTGCTATTAATGGTTTAGAAAAGCTATTGCTAAACGGTAAAGAGACAGAGCACAATCTACAGTATACATTATAAACCATTAAGTACACCATTCATTTAATTTATATCCTTTTAAATGGGCATATATTATTAATTAAATCTCTTTTTGATGACCATGTCACACTTATTATTATTATTATTATTATTATTATTATTTTGTATTGTATTGTAGAGTATAAAAATGAATTGGTCAACAAAATTAAACGTATACTTATTATATTATATATTTTATAACAAATTGTTTATTTATTTTATTAAGAAATAACATGAATTACAATAATAGATGTTGTTATACATTGACGCTGATAAATTTTCGTCGCAAGCTTTATCTTTATTTATTTATTAATAATTGTATATGTTTGTTGTTGTTGTTGTTGTTGTTGTTGTTATTTACTTTAGTTTAGTTTAGTTTTGTGATAACTATTAATATTTATATGAGTTGATAATAACTCTTGACACTTTAGTCACCAAACTGTATGCACACGTATACACGTTATTAAAAATGTCGCTTAAATGAGGTATATATATATATATATATATATATATATATATATATATATATAGCGGGGATAAAAAAATTACAAGTACAGCTGACATCACAGATTCAATAAAAATAATAAAAATTTATAAATAATATTTAAAGTTGATTACTGGTTTATCGACTGGTTAGTAGACAAACCATTGATCCTAAAATATAGAGCGTAAAGTATTGATGATGCTGAGAGGAGGAATCTGTAGACAGCGGATACGCCAGAGAAGACAAACAGTTGCTGTAAGACTCTGGATTTACTCTTGTTACTGCACAGTAGTGTTGCAGCATACACGCACCGCTGAATGCTCCCCCGCATCCCCAAATTTCCTCAACTTCTTGAGGTAATGACACTGTATTGGCTTTATAAAACCTTAAAAAATAAATAAACAAACAAACAAACAAAATGATAGTCATTGTCATTATTAATTAATTATAATATATGTATATAATAAAAGAAAAAACAATCAATTAATAACAATAATCAGTAATACTTTACCTGACGAAAGCGTTGTCGTTTTGCTTAGTAAATCGATCAGCGAGGTCATGGAGACTCTTTGCGTTTATCTCTTTTAATTCGTAATAATCCAAAAAAGAATATTCGACGACCCAGTTGGCACGACCGATTGAATTAGCTTTTGGTAAATCAAGGTAGTACTGAGTGTAATCTAAAATCTGACAAATCAATAAATTTTAATTTTAATTTCGATATTTCGACAAACAACATTTTTATAAGATTTCATTCCATCATCAAATAAATTTTTTATCTTTTAATTTTTTAATTAAATATCCGTCGGTAAATATATATTAAATATTTATCATCTTTAGTAACTTTCCGTCGTTTAATCTATTTATTCAAAAAATATATTATTATTATTATTATTATTAACAGTAATGATTATTATTATTGTTATTTTTATTTTCATTACCGCAGTGATTGACATGTTAACTTTTCTATACTTTTAATATTCTTTTTTTCATAACTCACCTGTCCGGTACTTGTTTCAAACTTGTATAACCTCAGACCGGGATTATTTGGTCCATTTGGTCGACCCGGGGTAATGCTCGGTGCCATCATAATCCATGAAATTGGTACTCCTGTTAGTATTTATTATCATTATATAAATTACTTTTAACTAATTGTCTATTTTAACTATTTTAATAATTTATTTGGTAATTTTGGCAATTCTGGCAATTCACATTTCACATTTTATATTTCACATTAAATATTATAAATTTTATATTTTTTAATTCATTCACGGTTCTTGTTTCCTCGAGAAATCATATATTTTCTATTTGTTAAAATTAAATAAACCAATTCATAATATAATTAAATTGTTTAATTTTTAAATATTAAAATATTTGAATTATACTAATTAAAATTGAAATGTTATAGTAGTGTAATGTGAATTTATTTATTAATATAAAAAAACAAAAAAAATTAATTAATAATACCCAAATCATTGTAAATAGTCCTAAAAGTATCAGAATGCCAATGTCCAAAAAATTGTCCAGCAATAACATCTGAAAATTGTCTGACCATTTGCAAATATCTTCTGTTGTGAATTGCTTTTAGAGGCCTGGCACCACTGTCTCTCTCATCGACCCCCGGTGGTGTATGACCAACTACATAAACCTATTATATCCACACAGAATAAATAATAAAATAGAGTGAAAATGAATAAAAGTGCGACACATCAAAGTAATTCATTAACTGCAGCAGTAGCAGCAGCATTAACAACAATAGCATTAAAAGTAACCACATATATATGATACACGCTGTGTAGTAGTAAGTCGAGTAAGATGAGGGTGGATTTCTGAGAGTGAAGGGGGAGAAACGGCATGAAGAATGGTTACAGAAATTCACAATTATTTACGTTGCGCGCTACCTAACTATAGAGTTTGCACTTGATTCTCATACTTTTACTCATTCCATCCATTTTCCGAGTTTATTATACCTATATTTTTATGATCAATTTTCATTACAATATAGATATTATAATATATGATTATACTTAATTTCCTGTTTTTAGTTTGCTATATATTATATTAATATCTATTATATCTACGGATTTATAGCCTCTAGAAATATTTTAACTAACCCAAGTTTATGTAATTCTGATAATAACATTCTTCATTTGGATTTTAATCCTTTTATTCAGTTATTGTTATCATTATCACTATATCTTACTGTGTAACTTTGTTTTACGTTTATAGGAACTTCCTTCCTCCCAGGAAATATCGATACTTAATTATCACACTAAAGCTTATTGTCCTTTTGTATATATTACAGTTAATTTATGATATTTGATATTTTAATTAAATTGCCACCCCCAACGGCTTCTATAAATTAATCCCCGTTATTTATAAACGTTTAATTTCATCAATAAATTTTTAAATGATAAATTAACTATTATGTAATATGGATAAAATAAAGTCTAGAGGTTTATCATTTTTAATCAATATATATATATATATATATATATATATATATATATATATATATATATATATAACAAAAGAATTTTTAGATATCAATTTAAAAATTCAGTGTCACATTCTGCAATTTTATTGAATAGCAATAAAATAAAATAAAATCACTAGCAACCAAAAGACGGATAAAAAATAAAAAATTAAAAAAAAAAAAACCACAACAACGATGATAATAATAATAGAAAATAAAAAGAATACTGTTTGATTGAACGATACAAAGAGACAGACAATTTCCAACGAATTAACAATAGAAACGCTGATTGATCACTTTTCACTTCACATCAACGCGTAACTCACTATCTATATATACCTATCTTTTTTCCGATCCCGAGGATATGTGTAATTTATCGTCGTATTTGACTCAACAAACCCATGATAATTGCATTTGCTGACAAAATTTAAACGAACAATCGAACACCGCGTGCTGAAATGAATACAAAAAAGAAATTAAATTAAAACTAGACAACTAAAAAGAAAAAAGAAAAAAGAAAAAAGAAAATAAAAGAGGGTGTATTGAAAAAGGATGATGATTAATGAGAGTAGTTAAAGATATATATTTCGAGCTGATAACAACCCACTTATCTTATATAGATATATATATATAGAAAAAATTCTGGGGTTTGGGTCATTTTAGTAGTATAACGGTGAGAGATGGTTTTTCTATTCCGAACAAGATGAATGGGCACTTCGCCACTGGGAAGTTTAAATAAGAACCTCGCCCTATACTGCTCGTGTCCCGAATTAAACCGGATTACTGTGGCGCCTATGTTCAACTGTCACGCGCGCTCCGCAGAATATTCTTCATACCTTTATACGTAACCCCAAATATCTACCCCACGAGCTACCCCTTTATATTCATTTTGTCAATGCGCCAAAATTATTCCCAACTGTTCCACTGCCTCAGGAGTTTCCTTGTTTTTTTTTTTTTTTTTTTTCTATCTATTTTTCATTCCTTTAATAAAATTTTTCCTCTACTACTACTTTTTTTTTTTTCTTGGTTAAATAATTGTTATTATTAATTTTTTAAATGAAATTATTTTTATTCTTCCCGTCCTGATGTCATTAAACAAACATTATTATTTAAGAATAAAGAACTTACAGTGTCCTTTTTTTCTCTTGCAGTTCGTAAAACAGATTCAAACCATCGCCATTGATTGTGTGGATCAGTAGAGTTTTTTAATAAACTCCCGGCAATTCTTTGTTGTTGATATTGTTGTTGTTGCTGTGGCTGTTGCTGTTGCTGTTGCTGTTGTTGTTGTTGTTGTTGTTGTTGTTGTTGTTGTTGTTGTTGTTGTTGATGATGGTGATGATGATGATGTTCATGTTGATGATATTGATGTGAGTGAAATCTACTGTCAATATTGTCGACGTCCAACCAAAAATTAGTATTTAAAAGAATGATCCGATACTTTTTGGACTTTTGTTCAACCATATAATATCCAGCTGCAATAATTTATATATATATATATATATATATATATAGATAGATATTAAAATATTATTTTTTATTTTAATTGTTTTATCATTGGCAAACTTTTGTTATGATGCGTGTAATTTTATTTAGAGTCTTTGTATTTTTATTTTAAGAGAAAAGTTAACAAAGTAGAATGAGATTTTGTAAAAGAAATTCTAAAGTATGTGCCGTTAGTCCTCATTTTCAGTTACTTATTAAATATATCCTACTATGATCGTATTTCCTGAAAAAGTAAAGTTTCCTTCTCAGTTTCCCTTCTCCTATCCGGCAACTGGCAACCCGGCACCCAGCACCCAGCAGCCCAATCTAACGTTAAAACTTGTAAATTTATGCATCACAAATTGACTTCTTAATTTAACCTTTTTTTTTTTTAACTCCACCTTTTTTTCTCGACTAGCTAAATTAGTTGACGTAATCAACTCGAAACAAAAAAAAAATTATTTTATGAATAAAAAATGACATTACTCCTTATTGTATCATTTTGAAAAGTTTATATAGATTAATACTTAAAAAAAAAGAAAAAAATTAATGAATTTATTTATCAATTTTCTGTAAAATAAAAGAAACTCTGAAGATAAGAAATAAATTTAGTGATATTGATATCCGTTAGTGTCCAACGGGTGTAATTCCATTTATCACGTATAGATTTTAAGTGTTGAAAAGTCGAAAAGTCTGTAAAAGTCTTGAAATTTTGAGACTACTCGGTTTCAATATAAAATGATTTAACAAGTTAAAAGTTTATTATCAGAAAATAAAGTTAAAGTTTGTGATAAAGGTCCGCGTCACGTCTGACATTCGACGTTTAACGTTAAAGGTTAAACGTCGTCAGAGTGACAGTGCTGAGTAAAGAGTTTTAAGTAACTAACATTTTTCAAATGTTTGAAGTGCCTCACTCGGTAGCCAATGCTTCCACAAAATAGCGGTTTGGCTAAAATTCAACCCAACATCCTCGTGTCCCAGCGCTGGGAATACAAATTGGCTAGTGAATGTGTGAGATAATAAATCCGTGAGATTCTTTAAAGATTGCAGTCGTAATTCCTCACTCATTTCTGCGGCGTGAGTTAATGCATCACTGAAAACAATATTTATTATTATTATTATTACCAAAAATATATCAACTCTTTTTATTAGTAGCTTATTTTCAACAAAATAGATAATTGAAATTTTTAAATTTCCATGTCAGGAATTTTACATATTATAAATATCTTTTAACATTTTATTATATGTACATACATTAATATTAAATTTTAAATATATATATATATATATATATATAAATAAATGTCTTTAAAAATTAAGTTTAATAACAAAAAAAAAAAAAGTAAATATAAAGTAGTATAGTGGTCGTGGACATATATGCCACATATAAAAGTATTGTAAAAGCATACCCTGTCCACAAAACAAACTCGATTCCTTCGTCCTGCTTTGATTTCATAGCTTGTACCGCAGACTCGATCAGCGCCCATGGTGAATCGCAGCTGTAGTTTCCAAACACTCCAGCGACTTTTCTATCAGGTCTTATGTGTCCAGTATCTATATTACTACTTCGTGTATTCCAACACGCTGTAATAAATATAAGTATAAAAAATAAAAAGTTCAAGTTTATTTTACACAGAATCCATCTAAAACTTTTCAATTTCTTCAATTAATTAATTAAAACCAGTGATGAGATACAACGATGTACGAGTAGATCAAGCTTAAGGAACAAAATTTAGGATGAAATTGAGAATAAGAGAAGAAATACAAGTGCATTTTGACCTTAATAGGTTTCAAATTTAGTTACTTTCGTTATACTACTATTTCAATCTTTTTAATTTTATTTTTTTTTTCTTTTTTTCTTCACTACTTTCTCAGCTCTTTCAATTCAGTGTACTCTTATAAAAAAAAAAAACATAAAAATTATATAGAGTTAGCTAGCTCCATCAAGTCAAGTAAAAAAGAAGAAAATTAAATCGAGAGTCTAATGGAGAAGGAGAAGGGGAAGGGGAAAAGCAACAGCATCGCGGATACTTTCGTCAAGAGAAATAAAATGGAAGCAAAACTAGCGTCATCACCTACTCAATGAACAAACCACACCGAGTACTGAGTACTGAGTACCCCGAGTATCCCGAGTACCCCGAGTATCAAGTTGAGTTTAGTTAGTTAGGTAGTTTCGATAAGTAACTCCTTAAACCTTTGATGAGCCAAACCAACTATATATAATACATATTACTAAAAACTTATATAATCATTATTTTCAATTAATAATAACGTAAAAATTTTTTCAAAGCTTACTATTTCCCCCTCCACCACCAGATCCAGATGAATACTTTGGGTCGTAATGGATGTCTGTTATATGCCAAAAGTATCCTGTTAATAATAATATTTTTTTCTTATCTTATAATTATTATTGTATTTTTTTAAAACAAAAAAAAAATTACGGTAAACCAACCAATAGTGTAGGTTTTTGGGAAAATTTTATTAACAAATAATTTGTACATACCTATTTTACCCTGAACCATAAATGAACACAAGAGCATCAAATAAATCTGTATCATCATCTCGAGTTGGTCCTGAAATAAGAGGAATTTCATAGGATAGTTTTTTAGCGAATTAATAACGATATATACATGCATATATATTTTCTTAATATATTCTAAAATTAAATATTATTGCGATAGTTTGTTAAGTTTAAAATAATAGCAAGGGATAGGCTCAGACTACTCAACTGATTCATACATAATTTATTATAATTATATAAGCATTTAACTATTGAGTTTGTATTTCCTAAAACCCTTGTGTATTTATACATTAATTCCGACGCACCACGCACCTGCTATTTCCGTGGAGAATACAGGTGTATATATATATACTACCAAGTTTTTGTTGTTGTTGTTGTTGTTGTTGTTGTTGTTGGAAACTATCCGTTATACTATTATCAAGGACCACTAACGATATTGGCTTATACATACACTTTTGCTTCTAACGGGCAAGTGGAATGGACATGGATATATAGTATGCATACTGGTGTATACCATCACACCATCAGGGTGTCATGTGGAATAACAAAAGAGAATATAATAAAAAAAAAAAAAACAATTTAATATTACCGACAATTCAACTTTGTTTAATGATGATTTTATTATTATCATTCCTACTTATTCCCTCTTTCCCCTCTTTTTTGGTTAGATATAGTGTAAAGTTTTAAGCCGAAATAGGGTGCCGATCCTGGTTCCTATCCCAGTAGTTTCAAGTAACATTACTGTGTGAAATTTGTTTAATCGAGTTTCTAACACTCGAACTTGGATTAACATTAATTCCACCTGGATTCATTGAGTTTGCGTAAAATTTAACCCAACATTCGTTGCGTATTATCCATTCGAATAAGTTGTACACTTATTTAATACATATATATATATATATATATATAAAGTTTTTAAGTATACTTATTTAAATATTTATAAATGGATAATAGTATTTTCGGTGTGTATACTGCATAATCGGGAAGGGTTACTCTAAAGGTTGTTGTTCAATGCAATAAATTGTTTTGTGGTCTATGAATCTTGTTGTAATGTCTTTAAAAAGTTATTTTGGGTTTGATGGGTACATTCGTGTCGGGGTCAATGTTCAGGGCACGGTGCTGTTAGTACTTTTCCTGAGATGATGTTGGGCAACGATCGTAAACGTTAAACGACTGATGTAGAACAACGTATGGACTAAGAAGAAAAATGAAATTACAACGAGTTGCCAAGATATATATATATGTATATTTAAGAAAGCTGAAAAGCTAAAATTCGATTCGATATAAAATTCTATATCATTTACCCTTTTTTTTTTTTTTTTCTCTCTCCAATGTACCAACACCATAAATATCCGATAAAATAAATTCAACTATTTTTTGTTATTATTTTTCAGTCAAGAAAAATAATCGGATCACTATTATATCAAATAAATGTTATCGTAAATAATTTTATACGTGATATAATTTTTATTGAAAAAAAAAAAGTTACATAAGCTATCTACACTTGGATATGAAAGTATTTAAATTCTTAGTAGAATAATTAGATCATGAGTTATCGATTTTCAAAGTGTGGTAGGTTAAGCTTTGATTGCTCATAATCATGATAATATCGCGATAAATTAGAAATTCTATTGCGTTCAATAACCTTTATTGCTTTAATATAACGTGAATGAGTAATCAGAAATAAAACATGATATTTAATAAATAAAAAAAAATTTTTAATTTATATTATATTATATAAGTTTTTTCAATTGACAATGTCTATTAATCTACCGAAAAATTTTCAACTAAATTCAAATACAAAGTACATATACGTAGTATGCTGTCAAAATATTACAAACAAAGTATGAGTTTATAACTGGCAGGCAAATCTATATGATTCATACTAAATAAAAATAATGACAGTAAAGTTGTAGATAAACTTAATAATATCTGGACAGTATTTGAAATGGATAAGAATATATGAAATTATATCAAAAGTTTGGAGGTACAAGTATATTTAAAACTCTAGTGAATATTTTCAGGAGCTCTATAATACACTATATACCAAACAAGAGCAATCAAAGTTAGCTCAAGTATCAACTATAAATATATATATATATACATATATAAGATTGTGAAATGCATCTATCTCTCGGTATGTCGGTAGTTATCGGTACCGGAAGTCATCAAAAACTTTAGAGTTTGACTCAAGAGTTCGAGTAGTTTACACTCGGTTACTGCAGTTACTATGGTTCGTGTATGGTCCGAATAACAATTTAAAAGTGTCTCGGGTATATACGAAAAATCAATAAAAGATCAACAAACGTAACTCGTGAGCTAACCCAACTTTCGTGACTTAAATTTATTATTGTCAGCGGATTTTTCGTCACCCTATTTTTATATATAAATATAGAAATCGAACATTTAAAAAAAATAAAAGGTTTATATGGGTACATAAGGTTTAACGATTATCACAAGTATATCATATATATACAGGACTTGAAAAGTTCGTTGAGACCCTAAGGAGATTACCAATGACTGTTTCAATTAATTTTATTTTAAAAGTATATAGACAAACAACAACTAACACAACAAACAAGCAACTCGACTAAACTAACAACAACAATTAAGTGATTTAGCTAGTTTTGACCACAATCAACTAACAACAGGACGGATCCATTAGTTCAGGGTATATAACTTTGTCTCTTTCCTAATACCTATATAGATATTAGATATAACTTCTTCACCTTCCATTAATTTTCACCTAATAATCTAATGTTTTTAAGTTTCCTATTGGATATTGATTTTTTTTTTTTTACTATCTACTCAAATATCAATAATGATTAATATTATTTTTAATTTAACAGGTATTAATTATTTTATCTTATATTTTAGTATGGATGTTTTTGCTAATTATACAAGTTGTAATTATCTAATACAAATATAAATTTTAATTTTTCTCAGTATTGATCGGTAAAAAGGAAAAAGAAAAGTTATATATTTTATATTTGCATTTTAATGCACGTCCCTATTACTTTTTTATAGCCTCTGAAATGTGTGTTAATTATGCAATCGATAAAATCGATACCAATTTATGAAAAAATCGAATAAAACTATGCTACTAGAGTAGTAATAATAATGTTCATTAAATTATTTGAGTAAAATACAACAAATGGTTCTTTCAAATACTCACGCTAATTAAAGCATCCTCTTTTTTTTTTTTTTTTTTCTCTATAGTATCTCGTAAATTTTTTTTCGAATCTGTATTAAAAAAATATTAAAGTTTTAATAAAAATTACGATGATACCGTGAAAAATGGTGGTACATTAAATCATGATGCAACAAGTAAAGTAAAATTTAATAAAAAGTTGAAAAGTTGAAAAAAAAAAAAATACAATAATAATTTACCGTGTAGTTAATTAAAAAAATTTGTAAAAATTCCATTAGCCTAGTAGAAGAATGGGGTAGTTGGATATAAAAATATAAATACAAAGGGAACCACCAGAAAAAAATTATTATCACATTCAAAAAGTATAAAACAAATATATTATCACATAAATAATCACTTTGGTTTTTTACTTTTTTCGTACCACTTTATCCTTTCTTGGACTCCCCGAGATGAAAGATTATAGCTGCACCTTTTTTAACACCCTATTATGCATTTCTTCCGTCTCCAACTTGTTTTTTTTTTATAATAATTATTACTATCTTTATTATTATAAATTATTCTCTCCTCTGTTTATATTTTTTCTATCTAAATAATCCTTTTTAAACTCTCTGCAGCCAGTCTTTTTCACCCCACGGTTTATCAAAAAAAGCTTCATAAAAAAAGGACTTTTTTTCATTTGTTACTATTATTATTATTAAAGTTAATGTTAATCACAGTTTTACGAGAAAAAAAAAAAATAACAGTCATTGTAACTACTGGTATTTCAATAATTATTCTTAAAAATAAATAGCAATATAATAAAAATAATTTAAGTGTGTTAATAATATATATATATATAAATTATCAAAGTATAGAATTATCACTATGTTGTACTTTGATCACTGTCAACACGTGTGTTAGGGTGTTGGGTATTGGGTGTTGATGTTACGGTCTACACGATTCGACTACTGGATCTCTCGGTTTACTCGGGAGACGAGTATCCCGACTACCCTGAGGGTGGTTCCCACTTCTCACTGTGCGACTGCGCTATTACCCGTCGTCACAACCCCTTTAACTCATTCTTCTTATTCTTATTGTTGTTAATACTCTCTTTTTTTTTTTCCATCACTATATTCCGTTACTCGTCAAAAATACATGTATATACTAGAAATTTAAATTGCGCGCTCCAGTCCGAAACGAATAAGAAATCAGGGTCCATTTTTTCGATTTGCTGCATTTTATTTTCTTTTTTACGTTAAAGGCAAAGTTAGAAAAAATTTTCAGTGTCCAGGCAATAACGATAAAAACTCTCAGAATTTCAGTGTTGACTCACAAGTCTGAAAAGTTATTTTTTTGTTTTTATTTATTAGAAGTAAAAGGTATAAAACAGAACAATCATCAGAGTTAAAAAGACAATATAATAATTAATAATAAAGATTAAAGACAAGATATAATAAATGAAATGGGGGAAAAAAACAGGTTAATAAGAAAAAGTATTTCCTTGATTTTTAGTTAGTATTATAAAATAGGTATAAAATAAAAGCTTAAAAATAATTTAAGAAAGAAAAGTGACGGCTAGATTTAATAAAACCCAAACTCAATGAATTGAACGAATTGAGCGGAATGGTATCAGTATAGCATTTATAACAGTTAGAGCAGTTAGAGCAGTTAGAGCAAGGGTATGTTACGTATGTATTGAGTATATACACATGTGCATTGACTCTAACACCTATTTTTTCTTGTTATTTTTCTAACAGTGTTGAATCCAATGTTAAATATTTCTTCTCTCAATTTATCCACCTCTTATTCACTATTTTCTATACTTTTCTCATCTGTACAATACACTGTATGTATATGATAGTCAACCTGAATTTTTTCACGATAAAAATAAATATATTTACTCATATACGGTACCGTGAATTTGCGGAACAATTCCATTTCACTGGTTTGCGATAACTGGAACTCGAACTAAAACTCAAACTAAATTTGAAACTGAAACTGAAACTGTTACTGTTGCGCCAACAGTGCGGCTACACTACTGGATACGCGTTACGTGGTAAACGTTCGAGAAATTCCATACCCAGCACCGAGTCATAGAGCCATAGAGCCATAGAGCCATAGAGACATAGAGACATAGAGACATACAACCAAACAACCATATAAATACATTATATATACAACCAAAAGAATAAAAGTATATAGAGTTACACAGAATGGAGAAAAAAAAAATAAAAAAATAAGTAAATAGAGAAGGAAATACATTCTATACCAAAATGACAGCAACTATTTATTTATTTATTCTTTATATTTTTTACTGCTAAAATAAACATCTGAGTAAACTCTCAGCTATGCCGATTCCATCCCAGTCGCGGTGATATTGATGTTGATGATATTTTTTCACTCTATTTAAGTTTTTTTTTCATCAATAATATAATATTTATTTAAATAATTAATGGTTATTATTTATTATTATTATGATAATAATAACAATAAAATTTTTATTTTAACGTGTAAATAATCTAAAAGAGATACTTTGTTTAATAATTTTTCTATATCTATATACAAATTCAGAAATTCAGTGAGTTATTGCTTTTATTATTTATTTTACATGGAGTGTAGTTGAATTTGTTTTCTTATTATCCATAATTTCTTCTGGTAAACGGGTGTTTGCACTCAATTTTCGTGCAAGAAGCGCATTATGTACAGCAAACAAACGAAATTGTGCATCACTTTGCCCTCAATAAACTTTCATAACCTTTTTTTTCTATCATATTATTTACCCTTTAAGGTATTTTTATTTTCATCATGTATTTCATCTACTATCTATCAGTTAAAACAAAAATATTAAAACCTTAAAATCATATTTACCCTGCTTATTTTTACATAATATATATATATATATATATAATACAAGAATATATTTTTCTTGTATGCGTATATATTAATATACTATTAATTTATTACAATAAAAATATAGTTTTTTTTTCTCTATAGTACTCAGCAAGTCATTAATAGAAAAATATGTTAATTTTAATTAAAAAATCTTATGAAAATTTTTATTAAAATAACAGAAACAAAAAGATATATTTATTGTTATGAGTATTGTCGAATGTTGAATAAAACGTTATTTAAATTAGTCTTTGAGGCAATTAAAACGATAGTGCCACCTGTTTGCGTGCACCTGTTACCGTTGAATCTAATCGATTGTCATAAGCCTGAAAATACTCATTCAGTCCAACAATCAAATATGCTTATCATATAAATATCAAAACCTCATTACTATATATAACAACTTACATAAACTTGATAATATAATAATAATTATTATTGTTATAAGTTGTTGTTCGCTTTAAACTTGTTACATATTTTATAATTACCAAATCAGTTGATAATATTTTATGATTAAAAAAATTAAATGACTAAATTATCTGAAAATAATAGCAGTAGGTCTTATCAACACAAATAATGATAGATATATATATATATATAGAGGGGTGTATGTATGGAGTAACGTTAATTTTAGGCGTTTAAACTATATAGTTGGTGAAATACGTGCGTGATGTACGACTGTACAATCGTTTTAATCACCTTTAATGATTTAAACATTTAAACAATTCCCTTGTATATGGATATATAGAGTGGTAAGCGTAAATTTATATATATAGATATAGATGGTTGGGGGTGTTTTTCCCGGTGTGGTGCGTATCCGCATTCAATTACAAAATGTCCACATACTGCCGCCCATTAACGTTGACTTTATTTATATCCATAAAATAACGGAAACGTGAATACAATCAGACAAAAAGTTATCCTCTATTAACTCTCCGAAATAGCATTTCTACACCATTTATAAAGGCTACTGCCGCCGCATTGATGCCGCTTTGTTCCTTTTATATATATAGTCATTCTGTTCAGTTATTTTCGGTTAAATTAAATCCTTATTCTGTACTGTTATGTTTGGTTATTGTATGGTTTTTCAACACTTAATATATATACACATCATCAATTTATATTGATTTTAATATACCAATCGATGAATTATTTTTGAATTTTTAAATTTTAATTTTAAATATACCCTACTCATACATATATCAATTCTCACCCCTGTCTGTGTCTTTTGTTTTCATTTTTTCATAAAACTTTTCCAATTTCCCCAGCTAAAATCAACACTTGCATTAAATTTAAATATTTCGACAACCGACAATACCAAACTCTCCTATACTGACAAATTAATGTTTTATATCCATTTTTTTTTTTTTTTTTTTTTTTCATTTTAAAGAATTAATTACTTCTTTTTTTTTAATTTAACTCGAATAACCTTATAATAATAATAATAATATTAAATTACAAAATGTTCATAATATTTAAATATAGTGACATATACAAGTAATAAAAGTTGTGATATTTTTTCTCGGTTTATTGTTTGGCAGAATCGTCATGGCAACTTTTCCGCGCTTGCGTAACTCACTACATCCGTATTTTTTTCCTTGTATACAATATATACATATATACAATTTCAACAATACGAATTCATTTCACGTCGTATGCCAATGTATTACTCCAACTCGTCGCGACGTGTACGAGAACCAATATTTCCATCGTAATACGCCAACAGATTTTTTTTCTGTTTTTTTTTTTTTCCATTTTTAATCTTTTGCTTATATTAAAAATAAAAATAGTAAAATAACTCTAAAGTTTAACATTCGAGAGAAACATTTTCAATTTTGTCAACTTGTCTGCTCAAGCTAAGTAATTTCAATTTATCTGTTATTGTAATATTATTATTACTATTATTTTTTTTTTTTTTTTGGTTTTAATAACAATAATAAAAAATAATATTAATTTAATAGTTATTTTTGTGACCTTGAACTTGAGAATTTTACTTGAGAAAACTTGAGAAAAATAATAAACCAAGAATAATGACAATCGATTTATATTATCTTTCTTTGAGTCCACCCTCACGTGCTGTTGTATTACTTACTAAAGCGCTTGGCATTCATTTAAATTTAAAAGTTATTGACGTTTCCAAAGGTGAACAATATAAATCGAAATTTATTAAGGTAGCTCTCTATTACTTATTTTGTTGTAATTATCACGAGAATGCTTGCATGCGCAAGTGCACTCTGGACCAATTAATTTTTCACAGTTTTGAGAAGATAAATCCAATAAGCTCACCGTTGTTTAAATAAGTTTCTGACTCTGATATATATTATAGATTATCTTTATTTTTATTACAAATCAAACTTATTCAAAACAAAAATTTATAAACAAAAAAAAAATGTTACGTAACTTGTTATTCTAGCTTAATCCACAACACACAGTTCCGACCATCGATGACAATGGATTTATTTTAACGGAAAGGTATTTTTAATTTGCTGGCAAAAAAAAAAAAAAAAAAAAAAAAAACATAATACTTGTTTTCATATATGTTATATACTTTAATATAAATAATTTAGTCGAGCAATAATGGGGTATCTTGTGGATAAATACGCTAAAAATGATTCTCTCTATCCAAAAGATCCTAAACAGAGAGGCATAGTCGACGAGAGATTGTACTTTGATTTAACGCGTCTCTATTACAACATATTCAACGCTTACGTAATTATCAATTATACTCTTATTATTATTATTATTATTTAATTTTGATACTGTCGAAATTAAATATAATAAATTTAACATATTTTTAAAGATCTTTGTTGCCTTTGGGATGTCAAACTCTGTTGATAATGATAAAGTTAAAGAAATAGTTCGTGGTTTTGAAATTTTGAATACATATTTAGAAATTAGTGAGTTTGTCGCTGGAGAAAATTTAACAATTGCTGACTTTTCAATAGTGATAAGCGTTGGACTTGCTGAGGTATAATCATCATAAATATATATATATATATATATATATTTATTATATAATAATAAACACTGTAGTAAATCCTGGTGATTTTTATATAATCATCCATACTTAATAATCACAATCAGTCTATATATATATATATTTTTAATTTTAATATTAATTTTTATTTTATTAATATTAGTATAGATATAGATATATTGAAAACAAATGTAATTTCAGATTTTTGGGTTTGACATAACAGCTTATGATAATGTTGTTGATTGGTACAATCGCTGCAAAGAAGCCCTAGAAAAATATGGATACGAAGAAGTTAATGCCCCAGCGGAATTATTGGGCGAATGGTTTCGAGCCAATAGTCAATAGTCAATAGCCAATTTTTAAAATTTTTAGGTTCTACTTTATTAATAAAATTTTTTTTAATTTTATTCAACACTTTACTATTAATTGTAGATTATTTTTGTAGTTTGAGGATTCTTATCCGGATAAAAGAATTTTTAATTCAAAGATTTCTTTGTACTTTGTTGTATTCTACCGTTAACGGTAAAGGTCAAAGCCTTTTTTTAATTTTTAATGATAAATAAATAAATAAATACATTTGATCTTTTTTGAGGTAGATTGTAATGAAAATAAAAGTAAAAAAATAATTTAAACGCATTGCACTGGACAGAACGAAATTTCACTCTCCAGTTGAGCATTTTGTACAATTGTATTTATTGTATCAAGTTTACCCATGGACTGTCAGAAGCAGAAATAATCCCCAGCAACTGTTATAAATTTATTCTCATCATTTATTTGTTTAATTGCAAATAATAAAAAAAAAATATCCAATTATTATATAATTATAATAATACTGAATTGGACAATTATTTAAGAAATTATTTTTTAATTATCATAAAGAGATAGAAACGCTTTTAAAATTATTATGTTTTTAGTGCAGCACACTATTTTTTATCTTTTATTTTTTTACAAATGGGAATCCATTAGATAGCCTATAGTTGCTTCCAAGGACGCAAACAATCATATTCCTTTCCTTTTTTGACTTGTTGTCTATCTGCTTTATCTTGCTCTATCACTCCCATTACATTACGACGTAGCATAGTAGTAGAAGTGGTAGTATAACGTTTTACTTGGTTTACTTGCCATCATGGTATAATACTAAGCGGTTTCACAATCCCAAGCCATTCCGAAGATTGCTCAACAATGACATCGCATAAAAACTACACACAGAGTATACTGTAAAAATAAAATAATAATAATAAAAAACATAATAATAAGAGGATGAAAAATGAAAATAATACAACTTAAATTATATATCAAATGGAATCAAGGAAGAAAGACATTTTTCTTCTTTTATTCCTCTATTGTCTTATTTTTCAGACATGTTAACATATATATATATAAATAATTAAATTTTTAAATTATAAAATAATTACGATTAAACGTAAATATACCTTAATCCATATATTATTTATTTTTTTTTTTAATTATTCTTATCTTTTGAATAATTATTTATTGATGATGTGTAGGATAAAATAGTAGCACTAATACGTGAAAAAACATTTTTTATAGGTAAATCGTATATATATGCAACAAAATATCGAAATTCGTGTCAAGCATTCTAACGATCACATAAAACTAGTTAATACTAATCATTTAAATGGGTGTTTGTCAAAATCAATAGATTTTTAACTAAAAATTCTAAGAAAATTTTAATTATTAATATTAATTTATAGATTTACTATCGGTACAATAATAAAACATAATTTTTTTTTTATTCCCTATAATATTCTCCTTACAATACTTAGTTGGTGGTAGTTATTTACATTTACGCCTGGTGAAAGGAAAGGGGAATATATATATATATATATATATACAACTAGTATGAACTATACTACATGTATGATGTATTTATATATATAATTCTATACTACATTACTTTTACTTGTATTATTTGAGTAAAACCTACAATACAACCAACACTGGTATGGTAAGTAGTATAGTAATAGTCCCACCATACATTCATTCACCTTATTATAAACTCGTGACTAACTATAATCCCAGTTAGTCGTCCAAGTGCCAGTCAGCCACCACCGTTTAATAGTTACTAACCATAGAGTGCTCACTTTGTTTTATAATTTTTATAAACTATATAAAAGGTAGGTCAATATAACAGATTTATTATTTATTTATATATATTTATTTTTTTTTTTTTTTACAAACTTAATCCTCTTACTCTCATTTAATTGTTAAATAACTATATGTTAATAATTATAATCAATGATAAACTAAAAAAAAACAAGCACTTTATCCGCGTAGAAATGATAAAAAGCTATAAATAGTTTGATTTGAATTTATAGATAGCTTAGAACGATTTCACCACACAAGTTTGCGGTCATTGACATTTCCGTTGATATTTATATACATATATGACTTAAATAGATAAGAAATAAAATAAAAAAGAAATTAATCGAGTATTTAAAGGTTAAATTTTCATTGTCATTAATAGAATTAGTCTGAGAAAATAATAAAAAAAAAAAAAAAAAAAAAAAAAAAATAGTTGGTGAAATGTTGTCGCGAAATCTTGGAATTAAGCCAATCTTAACGACAATATTATACGGTGAAAGTTTAATATTAAACTCTAGTTTAATTTGTTTTATTAAATAGGTAAAAATGGGTATTGACCTTTACTACACACCGGGAAGTTCACCGTGTCGAGCAGTACGTTTGGTAGCTGCGGCTTTGGGAGTTGATCTTAATCTTAAACTTATGAATCTGATGGCCGGTGAACACCTCAAACCAGAATTCATTAAGGCAAGTTAATTCATTTCAATTCAATATACAATAATATTTCAGCGTTAAATTAAAAAATATATTAATACACAACGAAAGTTTAATTATATATAATTTGTTCACTTTCGTTAAACTCTCACATTAGATATGATTATATGTATGATGATAACAACTTAATATATATATATATATATAGATAAGACAACGCTGTAAATGGTATTATAAATACATAAACTGTTTAATATATGATTTATTATCTCGACAGCTAAATCCTCAGCACAGTGTTCCAACTTTAGTTGACAATGGCTTCAGTCTCTGGGAAAGGTAACATTTTTTTTTTTTTTAATCTATTATCGCTTTGAATAATAATAATAATAATAATAATAATAATGGAAATTATATAATTAATAGCCGTGCGATAATGGGCTATCTGGTTAATCAATACGGAAAAAATGATTATTTGTATCCAAAAGACCCCAAGGTACGAGCTATTGTTGATCAAAGACTCTACTATGATATGGGAACAATGTATCCAGCATTTTCCGATTATTATGTGAGTTATTTGTAATTTAATTATTAGAAAGCATAGTACGAAATAATAAATGAAATTTTTTTTTTTTTTTTTTTTTTTTTTTTTTTTTTTTTTTTTTTATTAGTATCCAATCTTATTTGCCGGTGCACCGGAAGATAAATCAAAGTATGAAAAGATAGCACCAGCCTTTGATTTTCTGGATAAATTCTTAGAAGGCCAGAGCTATGTTGCAGGAGACCGTTTGACTATCGCTGACCTCGCTTTAATCTGCACAGTATCAAACTTTGAGGTAATTTATAAATATTATTTATATATATTTACTATTAATTTAATTAATTAATTTAAGCTTTTCATTTCATTCATTCATTCATTTATTTATTTATTTTACAGTTGATTAAATACGACATAAGTAAATATAAGAATGTCACAAGGTGGGTTGAAAAGATTAAATCAGAAGCAGTCAAGTATGAAGAAGTGAATGGCGAAGGTCTCAAAGCTTTCCAGTCTTTGATCGATAAACTTTTGAAGAACTAAATTCTTTCTTTTTTTGTTTGTTTTTTCTAAACATGTATACATTGATGCATTTATATAATTAATTCATCTTATCTAATACATATACTGTTTCAATAAAAAATTTTAATTAATTTTATTTCAATTTCTTACACTTTTTAAGGATATATGAATGCTTTTGTTGTACATGACATGTCAGTTGCTGAAATACAAGTTAATTATTAATTAATTTATTTCTTTTTCTTTTATGTATAGGTAATATTTAACTAAAATTCCAAATGAACTAAAAAAATTAAGTTTTACAGGAGAAAAAAAAATCTTTGAATAAAAATTCAAATAAATTGACTGGCTTAGTGAGAATTTAAGTTAAAAAGTATGTCATAAAAATTTATATTTATGATTACTGTAAAAGAAAAAAAAAAGATTTAAATCTAAAAAAAAAACTGTATTTTCTTTTCTTTACCTCTTGACTGTAAGTACAAAATCGTTGAAAACTTGAAAAGTTTATAAAGTAAGAATCGAATCTAGTCTTCTTATCACTTTAAACGAGTCTGAAATTCAAACAACAATGTTCTCAATTTTCCACTCGATTAAATTTCATCACATATATAATAATCAGAGTAAGAATAAGAATAAAAATGAGTAAGAGCAAAAGAAGGAAAAAAGTTTAATATTTTTTTTTAAAAATAGTTTATTCCGATAAAAAACTGGTAGTAGATACATTTTTCTGATAAATTCATAAGATAAAGCTTTAACGGATAGGATCAGAAATATCTTGAGTCTTGAGTAAAAGAAAAATAAATGCCCAAATGCCCTCTGGAGTCTGGTAAGCCATTACGCTCTCTATTTGATGGAGCATTATACGAAAAATGACCATGAACATATGAAACTTTACTCTATATATATATATATATATATATATATATATATATATATATACCAAGTCAAAGCATCTATAACATTAATGCCCGTATATCAAGCCCCACAGTCGACTAGCAACCAGCGACCAGCGACGATTCTCTCAAATAGCTCACATGCTGTCACATATATATATTTCCCAACGTCATACAGTACATACACTGTGCATATATAAATATATATATATGTATATTCACATTTCAATAGAGTATATCCCTCCTTATGCGTCAATGAATTTACTCGCCACAATAGCACAATGTAAACCATAAAGCGCTAATGCATTTATACGTTAACAAATTACGTTAAAATTGTTCCGATAATGACTCGTGTAACAATACTATTGTAAAAATTTATTATTCGGGGTAAATAATTTAAATAAATATTAATATTTTTATCTAATATCATTATCATTATCCTCATATAATGTTTATAATGTTAATAATCGATATAAAAATTTAAGTAAACATTTTACTCTGACAGTTTAAAGATTTTTTTTTTATTTAGATTAACAGCTTTACTAGTTTATTAAATAAATAATTTAGAGAATTAAAGTAGCCTTGAGAGGGTATAAAGCTTACTAATATTATGTATATTAGTAAAATTGTAACTCGTAAAACAGCAGTATGTCAATAAATACCGGCGAGTATAAGTGCTGATGGTGATTTTAAGTGATAAAATTAAAAAAAAAAAAAAAAAAAAAAAAAAAAATAAAAAAAACAAAGAAAAATTATTATTTATACTAAATACTGCATATAATAATGTCACTAGAGTTATATCATATGGAAATAAGCTCCCCTTGTCGCGCTGTACGACTTGTAATTGAAGCTCTGGGTCTTGAAATTAATTATAAATCTGTTAATTTAATCAATGGTGATCATCTTACTGATGAATATCGTGAGGTATATTTAAATTTTTATAATTTAATAATCTTTTTAATTGTTTACACTGTAAATTATAAAATTTTTTTTTCATTTACATATAGCTTAACCCTCAACAAACTATTCCGCTATTGATTGATGATAATTATAAATTAAGTGAAAGGTAAAAAAATAACATTACTTTGATTTTTTTTTTTTTTTTTTTTTTTTAATTTTATCACTTAAAATCACCATCAGCACTTATACTCGCCGGTATTTATTGACATACTGCTGTTTTACGAGTTACAATTTTACTAATATACATAATATTAGTAAGCTTTATACCCTCTCAAGGCTACTTTAATTCTCTAAATTATTTATTTAATAAACTAGTAAAGCTGTTAATCTAAATAAAAAAAAAATCTTTAAACTGTCAGAGTAAAATGTTTACTTAAATTTTTATATCGATTATTAACATTATAAACATTATATGAGGATAATGATAATGATATTAGATAAAAATATTAATATTTATTTAAATTATTTACCCCGAATAATAAATTTTTACAATAGTATTGTTACACGAGTCATTATCGGAACAATTTTAACGTAATTTGTTAACGTATAAATGCATTAGCGCTTTATGGTTTACATTGTGCTATTGTGGCGAGTAAATTCATTGACGCATAAGGAGGGATATACTCTATTGAAATGTGAATATACATATAAAAAAATTTTTTTTTTTTTTTTTTTTTTTTTTTTTTTTGTTAATGTTTTTTCATTAGTTTATTGATAATACTGGATTTTAGTCGTGCCATTATGGCTTATCTGGTTGATCAGTACGGGGGTGAAGAAAATCAACGGTTGTATCCAACAAACTCGAAAACTCGTGCATTGATTAATGCACGGCTGCAATTTGATGGAGGAGTTTTATATCCATCTGTTAAAAATTGCTATGTATATAGCAATATAATATAATATTAATAATGATAATAATAGTTAATAATGTAAAATTTTTATTTCAGTACGGGATGCTGTTCAGAGGACAAGACGATATTGAAGAAGTGAAAGAAAATAAATTAAAGGAAGCATTTAAAGTTGTTGATAATTTTCTGGAGGGCCATGATTATCTCGCTGGACGAAGTTTAACGATCGCCGATTTAGCGATTATTGCAACTGTTACAACAGCTGAAGTAATAATAATAATAATTATTATTATTATTATTATATTTATATAAAATTAAAAAAGACTTAATCTTTGTGTAAAAAATTACTCACTATTTGGATTTTTATTTTATAAAACTTTTTCTTGAGTTGAAACACATAGTATAGTAACAGTATAGTGTGTAGACAGTACAAATAAGCAACTCAAGTCTCATATAAAATTTAATTGCAGACAGTTGGCTTCAACCTCGATGACTATAAGAACGTTACCGAGTGGGTGGACCGGGTGAAAACTTGTGCTCCGGGATACAGAGTTGCTAATGGTGAAAGCGTTGAGCTTCTAAAAAACTATATGCCTCATCCTACTCCTCAAGATAACAATAATTCCGACGATAATGACAATAATGATTAATGAAAATTATTATTATTATATATTCAATAAATATGTTAATACTTGTTAGTAGTAATACTCTTTGTATAGTTAATATATTAATTAGAAATCTTAAATTATTTTTATTTATTAATTTAATTAATATATATATATTGAAATTTTTTTTTTTTTTTTAATTTTTATTTACCATTGGCTGAATAATAACATATATTATCATTCTTATCGACTTTATATTATCATCCAATCACTACTTTAATGGATGTTGATAATCAAGCTTACGTTAATGTTTTATAATGAAAAAAAAAATCTATTCTCAATGGCTCTATAGGCTTTATTATATTTTATTAATATATTTTGATCAATAAATGTTAAATTTTTTATAAAAATTTAATTTGTAATTAAATATACCGCTTAAGGCGTCACCAGCGACACCTGAAATAAAAATCATCGAAACAACACACAGACACACACACACATACATACGTGCGCTGGAGATATTGAACTATAGTAAATTTTTCAGCAGTATATATATGTATATATAGATTTAGATGGATAAAAGTTATTATACATAAAAAAGTATTTGGGTATTGCATATGGACCACTTACACTAATTTTCATTGGTTCTCATGAATGTGCTGGAGCCCCTTACTACAGTTAGTAGATTGAGAATTATTCTATTAACTTATACCTATACTATACTATAGAGTTATAGAAGCATCAGCATCAGCTCCAGATTACTGTGTATATATATGTGTGTATACATGACAACACCAGTGTGACAGTGTGCATTTTTTTTTTATATTATTTACCCTCTCTACAAGTAGTACAAGTATTACATTATTACATATACACACAAGGGTAAGTTAATAAGTATAGATGTATATTATAATCTATCTATACATGATGAAAAGGTAAAAAGGTGATAGATTGAATGTGTGGTAGTAGATTAAAGAGAGCTCGAAGAATTGAAAACCAAGTAACCGAGAGTGAGTTGTCTATAACGCGACCATTGAAATATATTATTATTATTATTATTATTATTATCATTATATAGTGTATAAAGACGGACGAATGAAAAAGGATATAGTTGAGTAAAAATAAAATAAAAAAACTGAACAAGACAGACTAAGATAGACATTGTTAGATGTTAGGTGTTGGATAATGAATAATCCCAGTTAGTTGTTGATTATTTTAATAATTAAATGGAGCGTTTAATTGTGAATATAAGTGAAAAATATGTATAGTTGAGAGTAGTTGAGATTTAAATTTTATAAAGCAGAGTTTAAGTTGAAGCTGCAGACAGCCGAAATAAAACTCAAACCTCTGAGTAGTTGTCAACGGTGGTGGTCGTCCAGTCGGTTCTATTTTTATATAATATATTATTATACACACATAATTACAAACTAAATATTAAATTATCTACAATATTTTAAATATTGTAAAAAAGTGTAGTTTAACAAAATTTTAAATTTCACAATACTAAAGTGTATATACATATAAATATAAATATAAATATAAATAATTGTTGTTGTTTGTATAGAAAAAAAAAAAATTTTATTTTAGTATCCGATTTGATGTGACGCGATGTCAAATTTTAAATTAAATATAAATCAATACGCGAGTGTAATTTATATTTATACAATTTATTATTATATATTTTTAAATTATGAGTGAGCTTTGAAAAATGTTTGGTAAAAGTCAAAATTATAAATATATTTTTTTTCTTTATTTATTTTTCATTTATTTGATCTTTGATAAAGATTCAATGGAATATACTTGAACATTTAGAAATAAATTTTAAAAAATAATGTACATAGATAATTTTTTATTATATTTTTTATATTTGTGATATAAAAAATATTGACTATTTTATTAAATTTTATAATTACGATATAAAATAATTAGATAGAATGGAGAATAGTATTAAATTGATATATGCAAACTTTTATCCAGTATATTTACTTAAAAGTATTGGCTGAAATAGTATGAGATTTATATTATTATTAATCATGATATATTTATTCATTAATTATTAGTGTGGTGATAATAATTATCTTAATTGTATGTCTAATTGTCGGCTAATTAGACATAATTGTCGCCACAATAGCTTGGAATTAATAACAATTAAAAGTTTAATAATTGTTACTGTTTAAAAAACAAAATAAAATAAATAAATATAATAATAATAATAATAAAAAAAAAAAAAAAAAAAAAGATGCCGTTTGTTGTACGTAAAATAGAGCCACGGTACATTGGACGTGGGCACGTACCGCAAGACAATTCTTGCGTGGAAATATGGCCTGTTGGTGCGGAGCTTGAGGCAATTATAAATGGTGCCCTTGCATGTACTCTAAAACAACTAGCTTCGTTGTTAACAAATGCTCAAGATATATTTCAAGGGCTCAATGATGAATTGGGTGATGTTGCCAATAGAAGTGGAATTTTACGCCAAAGAATTCATCAACTTGATAATCAATTATCAACTATTGATCCGAAAAAAATACCTGTCCGTAAGTATTTTAATTAATTAATAGTTAATAAAAAAAAATTATCATTTTATGTTTTTAATTTTCCAAATAAGGTAATGAAAAAATTATTTTTTTATACCCGTTATACCTATAATAATTTAAATTATCTTGCTATTATAATGATATCTACTTAATTATTATTATAAATATTTTTGGTCGCTTTAACTAACATTATTAGTAAGTTTTAAAAGTTGATTGTCCGCTGCAATGCGGATGACCTTATAGCCAGTGTATATCTGTAGATGATCATTGATCGTTTTCTCACGCGAAAAACTACTCATATGGTGGTGAAGAAAAACTGACCAAGTGAGTAGTACTACACATGTGCGTTTCACATACTTGTAACAACTTAAAAAACATACATATACCCTAGCATAACTATTATAGCCGCACAGATAACAAAAATTTATTATTATTTTAAATTACATTCCATTTTTTTTTTTTATACCTACATTTGATGTAGTATAAATATGAAAAAGAAAAAAATTTTCAATCCATCTTATTTAATTATGCATACTTATAACAAAAATTAAAACAAATGTTAAAAAAAACTATAAATACAAGTATACATGGAAAAAATAAAAGAAGACTTATGACGAAACGTTGTATCCAGTTTCATGGGGAGAGAAAGCTTAGACTGGCTTCAATGTCTTAACTAGATTAACTTTTAACTTTTTAGGTATTATTATTTTTAATTTAAAAAAAATTATATAAAAATGTAACAATGTTTAATTTACAGCGGAATCGGATATCAGCAGCTTTGCGTCAAGAAAAAAACACTTTAAATCATTACAAAAACCATCTACTGGACTGTTTTCTGAAACAACCAGACCAGCAGCATTGAAAAAATTATATCAACAGGCTAGTGTTATTGCTGTACGTAATTTGGATTATATAAAAATAAATCACAATGGGAATGATACTACTGCTGTTGAAATGTTTTTGTGTACTCCAATTCTCGGTAAAAGAAGAAGAGATCAAAGTTTAGATATTGAATCTCGAGTTGTAAGTTTTTTTTTTTTTTTTTTTTTTTTTTTAATAATTATCATTATTATTTTATTGATATAATATTTGAATATTTAGCCAGCATTATTTGACGACTTGAGAAGATGGACTTCCAGTGAAGCTTTGGGAGATATAACAGTTCCACCAGATTGTATGTCTAGAATTATTCAATCCAATGATAATGATTTTACTGGTGATGATGCCGTTGATCATAAATTACCAAGTCCTGAAGAACAATTTCAAGTGATTGCATTAAAGTATGTATTTTTATCGTATCTTAAAATTTTTATTTCCATTAATAAATTATATATTATTACCATTATTATCGTTATTAGATTCCCAGCGGAAATAGTTGCTGTTGATATTAGTGGAAAAGGATTTGCTCGGATGTCAATGCGAAAAAAATTAACAATGGCTCAAATAACATCTGAATTTAATTTGGATAATGATACAACCGTAAAACGACGATCAAAAGTTCGACACAACACTAGTAGATCAAAGAATAAACGTAGAAATACAATTGCTGGAACAGATGGTAAAGAAATAAAGCAAAATATTATTAAAGAGCCATCTACAACAAAAAAAGATAATGATGAGGATGATAATATTAAAGAAACAATCTATAAATCTAAATCAACTAAAAATCGTTGTGTTAGATCAATAAGTACAGATATATTACAAGAACGAGATACAGAATTAACAAAATGGAATTTTGATGCATTTAAAGCTTGGGGTAGATCAAGATTACGATCTATGCGTCGGCAATCCTCAGATATTGATAAAAATATAAAATCTACCAGTAATTTTGGTAGTGTTACTGATAATAGTAATAATAATAATAATAATAATAATAACAATGAAGATGAAATAAATAATGATAATAATAATGATGTTAAAGATTTAATGGTAGTTAATAAAGTAAATGCTAATGATGAATTGAAACTCTCTGAAGAAGAAGAAGAAGAAGAAATAAAACAAAACTTTTCATCTATTAACGTAAATAATAATAGTGTTGCTACTTCTAGTATTCCATTATTATTATCATCATCATCATCATTATCAGCGACGAAAATGCATACATTTGACAGAAACTTTTCTCATCAATCACATCATCAAAAACGACAACAACAACAAAAACATGGTAATAGTAGTAATAATATGTTATATGACGTAAGATTGCGAGAAAGTGCTGTATTAAGAAGAGAAAGAAGAAAAGGTAATAATAATAATAGTAATAATAATAATAATAATAATAATGCTAATAATACTCGTGAGGATCCTATACATTCAAGTTCTGGTAATTGGAGTGCATCTTCTGAAAGTGGACGAACTAGCAGTATTGGAAGTGAAATAATTTCATCTAATTTACCTGGAAGATCATCATCCTCATCATCATCATCAAAATTATTGTCACACAATCATGGACGTAGATTAAAAGGTCGTGATACTCCAACATCATCATCAGTAACATCAGAAGCCAGTACATTGACACCAGATATTATTCAAGATATAATTACCTATCCCGGTGATGATTTTGAAACAGAAGGTGAAACTTGTTCTATTTATTCTTGTGATACTGAAGGATATTATACGTCATTTCACATGGATTCTGGACTAAAAACATTACGTGAAGAAGAACTTGCAGCAGCTAATGCTAATATTAATAATAGCTTTAACAACGCTACTCCTAATTATAATACTACTACTACTAATACTAATGCTATAAAAACAACAACAGCAGATATTGTCACTTTTAATAATCAAAATCAAAATCATAATCAATTGCCATCCAATAATCAAAATGGATTTGTTGAAAATGAGTATGAATTATTTGGACGTGGTTCAACGTCTACAACTACCAGCTCTGCTGGTACTGTTTGTACAACTTTAATGGCTGGTGCTCCTCCTGTTCCACCTGAAAGAAAATCCAGCTTGACTGTTGTTGCTATGGTAATAATTAATATATATATATATATATTTAATTTTTACTTGTTTAATTATTAATTATTAATTTATCATTTAACAGGTTCACGGACAAAATGGTGGAGGTAATTCACCAGACAGCGGACATAATACATGCTCATCTCCAGTAGAATCTGCTTCTGCTTCAAGTCCAGCTTGTTATACAGCGCGCTCCTGCTCTGAATTAGAATACTCTGAATCAAGTGATCTTGAAGGTTATGATAGAATAGAACGTCTACGTAATAAAACAGCAATAAGCACAAATCGTATTCCGTCCATGTGTGTAATAACTCCATCTGGTTCAGATGACGAACAAGCTCAATCACAACAACAACAACAACAACCGGATTTAAATAAAATATTACAATTACATAATGCTAATTCAATATCATATGATGAATTAGTAAACACAAGTGTAGTTGGTGTTGGAAATAAAATAAAAACTTGTCAAGATTCTGGCGACTATGTTACCATAGCCGATTTTAGAAATAATAAAGACAGGTATCGTCAAGAAAATATAACTCAAGTTTATGCTAATATTGAGAGTAAAAAATATTCATTAAAACAACAACAATCATCAAAAAAATCAAAATTATTACCAGATGAATTTGAATCTGCCGAGTACGTCAGTCTTAGCGATTTACCAAAAAAATCAGACTGCTCGTTAGAAAGAAAAAGACGCCAAGGCGCTAGAGTTGTTTTAGATTATCAAGGAAAAGTTATTTATTCATCAGATAGTCTTAAAAGACGAAAGGAATCACATACTACATTTAATCCAGGTAAATATTAATAAATTTAATAATTTTATTTAAATTATTTAATATTTATTATATTTTTAGGTCCATTCATTAAAGAATCATCGCCAATAGTTGCCGCTACTAATCGAAATGACAAATCCCATCCTGAATCACCACGAGGTATAGTTAAACCTCGAGCTTTTGTAAATTTGGCTCATCAGCATCAACAGCAACAGCAACAATCAGAGTCATCAATTATTAATGAAAAAATAAAAAGGACGGCAGCATCAACAGCATCAACAGCATCAACAGCATCAACAGCATCAACAGCATTAACAGCAACACTAGCAGAGCTTGAGGAAGTTAAAATTGAGGAGAAAATTAAGGAGGAAGGTAAGAGACAGAAGAACATGGAACTAGTATATCGCACTGTTTGCACTCAGCACGATGGCACCACTAGCATCGATTCTACCATTAATAGACATCACCAACAACACAAAAAAAATTTAGTGACATCTTCCATCGATTTTAATCAATCACCGTCATCTTCATTATTATTATTAGGCCATGATAAAAATTCATATTCCACCAATATTACCGATAAAAATTTATTAGTATCATCTTCCGTTAATATTAATTATTCTCATGATAGTAACAATCATTTTTCTTTTTCATCATTATCTGATAATAATAATATTATTAATAATCATAATAATATTATTATTAATAATAATAATAACAACATTAATATCACCAATAACCATAATAACAGCAATAATAATTCTTTAATAAACAATTTAAAAGAAAATAATAATCATAATCGTCAAAATAATTTAGAATTAGATAATGAACGTAAAATAAAACGTAGTGATAGTTATCGTATTGCTAATGCATTTACATTTATTAAAAAAAATCAAACAAATTCATCTGAAAAAACTAATATACCACGTACGGCTTCTGAAGAACTACGACAAGATTTATTAAAAGAACGAATTAATTATCCTGATACCGTAATATCTAAACCTAAAACAATTTTCGGTATTAATAAATTCAAAAATCAAGAAATAGCTCGAGTTCTTAAATATTCAAGTAATGATACAGAAATATGGTAAATTTAAATATTTTATCATCTTATTATACTTATTTTATATCAATAAAAAAAATTTTTTTTTTTTTTTCAAATCAATAATTATTATTGATTATTAATTATTATTAATAAATGCAATAAATGTTTAAATTGCATCAGTCAATCATTTATTAGTATACAATAAGTTGAAAATAAAAATAAATAAATAGTATCAACAATAAAGTAATTAAATATGCGCGATTTATTTATCATTGTCATTGACTACTTAACGTTATAATAACACTTAATAATGTTGGCTAAACATTTTCTCTTTCTAGCTACCAATAGAACTTGTCGTAAGTCGTGGTTTTTTTTTTCTTAATAATTAAATTTTATCATTAAAATATTCAGTGAAACACCACAATTAATTATTTATAAATATAAAAATACAGTTATTAATATTTTTACTCAATTTGAAAAAAAATTTGTTATTATAATTTATAAGTTATGCATGAATCATCAATTGAATATAATGCACTATACTTTTTGCAACTATTTTTTTGCCTTGATATTTAAAATTAATTATTTTATTTAAATATAATGAATATTATTGCTTGCAACTAATAAATAGCTTATTAAAAAGGAAAAAAAAAAAAAAAAAAAGTTAATAGATATGTGAATGAGTGTTGATTTTTTTTTCTTTTGTATATAATCTGTAAATTATTGTGCTTCTAAAGTATGTAAAATGTAATATTTTTGTTTTATTGTAGAATTTCAATTCACCCAATAAGAAAATATAATTCATATAATATTCGCTTGTAAATTTTGTTATTAACAACAATAATAATATAAATAATAATGATTATTATTTATATAAGAATAATGGTATTGGTTATTGATATCAATATTATTTATCATGTTATTATCTGGTCAACAAAAATAATCCCATATATAGGAAAATATATATCTCAATTTTAATATTTTATGTTTGTTTATATATTATTAATTATAGTAATAATTGTGACGCTTGCCATTTTAATTATTATTGCTTGCTCTGGTTTTTTTTTTTTCTATGCATTATCAGTTATTTGGATGTTAATGATTATATATTATTATTATTATTATTATTATTATTGTTGTTATTATTTTGAGTATTAAGCATGTAAGTTTGTATTTATTTTTCTACATGTAATCAAGTGTTAATTAAAAGCTGCGTCTAGCCATAATAAAAAAATTGTTATATAAAGTAATTTATGGCTATAAACTCGTGAAAATAGGATTATTGATTATAAATTTCATAGAAAAAGTATTTATTAACAAATAAAATTTTATAAATTTTTCAGTAATAATGAATAAATGCTTGAATTTTTTTTAATTGGTGTAAATAATTATTCTAATCATTATTTAATATATATATATATTATTATTATTATTATTATTATTATTATTATTATTATTATTATTCTTTTACATACAATTATAACAAATGATATATTATTATTAAAATTATTTGTTATAGATACTAATTGGATACACAGTCAAGACCAAGTTGATAGTCATAGAGAAAAAAAATTACAAGATGAAAAGAATAATATTAGCACTATTAATTATAAAAAAAATTTATCATTAGCGAATAAAAAAATACAATACAGTGATGGATTATCATCAGGAGAAGAAATTTATCATCAATCTGTAGTAGAGCTTGCTACACCAGACATAACCAGACGAAATCTTGGTAATAATTTGATAAATAATAATTCTCAAATCGAATTACAAGATAATAAAAATAAAATTTATAATAACATATTAGATAATAACAAAAAATATGGAAATAATCAAAGTCAACGGTAAGAAAATAATTTTTATTATCCTTTAAATATAAAATAATGAAATTATTATCTAATAATAATTTAAATATATTTAGGTATCTAATGCCGTTAAATTTGAATACCTATGATGGTAATAGTAGTCAAATTACAACATCTTCTCCGCTCTCTCAAAAGTTTAAAGAAAATCAACCGTCTGAAAAAATGAACATTGATCGTTTGGAACGTTTAGAACGTAAAGATTTTTTAAATAATTCAACATTATCACCAATACCGTCTTCTAATAGTTTTTATTCTTCATCATCGATTAACAGTTTAGTTAAAAATAATAAAACAATGTCAAATGATGAATTATTCACAGCTATATATAAATCTAAACGAAAATTAAATATTAAAAATGACAGTGAAATATCTACTGGATCAACATCAACAACAACAAAAACAATTGATGATTCATTAATTGATATAAGTAATTATGTACCTGATGATAATAATAAAATAGGTACACGACACAGTTGGAGTCCAGAATCACAAACTAATAGTATAAAAAAACTCGTATCACCAAGTTGCATTAATCAAGAGGTAAATTTATTTATTTATTGTTAATAAATTTTGTTATCTAATAATTTAATTGTTATTTTTTTTTTTTTTTTTTTTTATTGTTAGATGTCACCAAAAAATACCAAAACAGCTGCAGCCATGACACGGCTTGATTTTAAAAGACTGCTATTACAACAGAGTACAAAAAATAGATCAAGCAGTTTGTCAGCTGCTGAACAATTAAAATTATCAAATCCATCATTGAATTCATCATCCAATTCATCGAAAGGAACTGGAAGGCAAGTAAATTACGGTATTAATGATAATAATAATAAACAAACAACTGCTAATAGTACAATAATAATTAAAAGTTTAAATACTTTATCAACACTTGATCATCAACGATATAATTCTTCAACTGGATCGTATTTGTCACGCGGTCAACAAAAAACAATTTTTCCAAATCCATACCAAATCAATAAACACGATTCTATTAATTCATTTAATCATCAAAAATCTATTTGGAAGTATCAAATACCGCGTAGCAATATTTTATCTTGTACAATTATTGAAGATGTTGCTGCTGAAGAAACTGCTGTCAAACAATTTTTAGAATCTCCCCCATCACCTTTACCTTCTGCTACTTGTTCTTCCTCATCATTATCATCATTGACACCATCAGCAACATTAATAAATGATAGTGATAATAACGTTAATAAAAACAAACAAATATATAAAAATAATTTAAAATCATCTGAAAATAATGATATAGATAATATTTTTTCTAATAAACTTTTTGAATTTAACAATTCAAGTAATAATGATGATAGCAATAATTCGAAACTTGTATCAGCCCACTTTGAAGCTGAATCATTGAAAAAGCGTAATAATGAATTGAAAGCTCAATTTTTATCAAATAATAAACTTGACAATAATATTATTATATTTGATGAAAAAAATCAAATAAAATCAGGACCAACGAAAGATACTGCTGATATAATAACACCATCCGTAATTGTTGATAATATTACTAATAATTCTACAGTGTCACGAAACACCACTACATCGGCACTTGAAACAGCATTATAAATTGTAATTATTGGATAAACAACAAATAATTGGTTTTTCTTTTCTTTTCATTTAATTATTAATTTTTTCAAAAAAAAACCCAAGTACTAATTTATTAAAATTTATTATGTCTCAAAAAAAAAAAAAAAAAAAAAAAAAAAAAAAAAACGATTTTATTTAACTTTTTGTATTATTTATATCCCAAATAATAAATAATTGAAACAAATTAATTTTTTCCAGTAAGTACCAGGTGTCGCGGGTTAGTCCCAAATTTATTAGTTTTAAGATTTCTTACTTTTCTTAGTTTCAATACTTTTACTTGGTCAGAAATACTTTAAATCAATACATTTTCAAAATCATTAATTATTGACTAGTATTAAAAAAAAAATTTACTATTTATTTTAAAAATAAATTTAATTGTTAAGCCAATGCTGAAGCAGCTAATTAGTCAAGCTAATGAACAAAATAACAAAAGAAATTTTAATTAAACTAAAAGTTTATTTAAATAATTTATATGTATACAATTCGTATGTATACCAGTCAAATCTTAAATAGTAGTATAAAAAAAAAGATAGTATTTTTAAATATTTATATATTTATGAAATTGAAGAAATATACTCAATAAATATATATTTTATAGTATTAATATATTTATAAATTTTTATTGTAGCAAAAATAATAACATTTTTAATAGCCTTTTAGATGCCATAAAGTGCCTCGCGTGTTGTTTTTTTAAATAAATAATCTATATTTGACTACATAAATAAAAAAATAAAAAAATAAAAAAATAATATGATATTTTATAAATATATAATTGAAATGCCTTTAATATGATTACTTATTGATTTTTCTTTTTTAAGGAATTAACCTTTTTTTGTACGCTTAATATATATTAATTATATATACATATGTCATTTAACATTTAACTATTATAGAATTTTGTAAAAGAATAAAATGATTATAATTATTAAATTAAATTTATTGTTTATTTATTCACCATCCCTTCGTGAAAACAATTATTCCTTTTTACTCAACGGACAACAATCACAATATTTATCTATGTCTATATCATCATCATTATAATCTTGTTTATTATTATTAATATCATCAGATTGAGATTCAATATTGTCCATGGATTTTTTGTCTTTACGTTTATGACAATTTTTACCAATACAATGCTGAAACAAATAATTAAATAAATTTATATAAATAAATAAATAATAATATTCAACATAATTATGATTACAAATAAATATTGACTTGCGAAGCTTTATTGCAAGGTGCGATATTTTTAGGGACAAACAATAGTTTATCTATCTGTTGATTGAAACATTTTTCGCGTTTTTCTAAAAGATTTATGCAATTTTTAAGTCGAATTTCTTCTTTAACTAATAGCTTTAATTTTTGCAAACAATTTAAAATATTATTGTTATTATTATCATCATCATCATCATCGTCATTATCAGTATTATTTTGGCTAATAATATAATACAAATTATCTAAAGTTTCTATTTCAGGAGTTTTATTTTTCTGGCCTATATTGGACAATTTATTTTCCAACTCGAGATTTATAGCTTGAAGAGATTCAAGACTCATAATTGATTCTTCATACTCTATTTCTATTTTTATAATTTCATCCTAAACATTTAAAAAAATTTTAATAAAATATTAACGTACGTATAATTTTTTATGTATTGAAAAAAAAAAAAACCTATTAACTCACGTATAATTGAGTAACTTGGTCATTTAAATCTTTTATTGAATTTTTAATATCATTATTATTTAAATAATTAGAATCATTTTTTATTTGATTATCATGGTGAGCAACAGGAGATATAGCATCAATAAAACTTGAAAAATCATTTGATGATGAAGAATTGTAAACCATTAATAATGGGATTGTTTTTTCAATATTGTATATTTTTTCAATTAAATATTGTCGGCGTTCATTTAAATGACTATAACGTTTTTCTATCATATGCAATCCATTTTTCATTTTATCATTTAAATTAGAAAAATTAGTAGTTGTTATTGCTGTTGCTGCCGCTGCAGATGATGATTTATTGTCTTTATTTTTTTTACAACCTAGATAAATTTTTATTATATAATATAAAATATTTATTTACTATATATATATATATATATATATATATATATATATGTATAAATTTTACATACTTTTATACTTTTTATACTTACAATTGCATGAATAATTACTACATTCAATTTCATTACAAGATTCTAGTAAAATACAAAAAAAAAAATTGTCTAAATTATTTAAAAAAAAAATAAATATTACCTAATTAATTTAAATAATAATAATCAAGTTTTTTACCTTTAAATTTGAATGAATTATTTGCCATGGTATTAAAAAAGAGTTATTTGAAAAGGTAAAGTAATTTTTACTACTAAAATTTGACACACGTACGTATATATTTAAATTTATTAAATTCAATATATATTAATAAGTCTGTCCATATAAAAAATTGTTGTAGACTAAAAACATCGTTGGTAAATATATATACATATAATTTTACGTATATATAATTTTGATTATTTGATTTATTACTATTATCATAACCGATAATTTATTTTACAAACGTTGAGGTACTACCTATATCTATATAGAGATAATGATAATATATACTATTCACGGGAAGCGTGGAATGATGTACATAAACTAAATTGTATATTATTTATATATTATTGTTGTTGTTGTTGTTATAATCATAACCTTTAAACTTTGAATTTGTAGAATTTGTTAGCACGTTAGAGTTATATCTATTTACTTAACAAAAAATGAGTCCTTTAGAAATAGCAAAAAAAAAGGCAGCTTTTAAAGCTGTTGACGAATTTGTTAAGGTAATGCTTAAATACGTTTAAAATTTATATAAATTTACAAATATATTTTTACAATATTATATTTTACTTACTACGATGTAGGTAGAGGATTATATTATCTATATACCTTTCTTTATTCTTTATAAGTGTGTGATAAATAATTAATAATTAATATAAATTTTTAATCATTTCAGTCAGATTGTGTGATTGGAATCGGTAGTGGATCAACAGTCATTTATGCAGTAAATAGAATTGGTAATTATTAATTATAAATATATATAATACATAATATATTTAGATTTTTATGATAATAATTATATTTTATTATTCTATTTATTAGCTGAAAAAGTTAAAATAGATGGAATTAATGTTGTCTGTGTGCCAACTTCTTTTCAATCTCGTCAATTAATTATTGATAATAATTTAACACTAGGTGATCTGGATAAATATCCAAAGGTAATCTAATCCTATTAAGTTATATACTTTTAAATAATTAATTTATTAAATGTACTCAGTATATTGAACTTAAGCAGAAGAAAAAAAAAAAAAAAAAAAAAAAAAAAAACAAGAAAATAATCATTTCTATATTATTTTCTATAATTTTTATTTAGTTGGACTGTGTAATTGATGGAGCAGATGAAGTTGATGGTGACAAAACACTTATCAAAGGTGGAGGAGGTTGTTTATTACAAGAGAAAATAGTTGCATCCTGTACAGATAATTTAATAATTATTGCCGATTATACAAAAAATTCAATTAAACTTGGACAGCAATATAAAAAAGGAATACCTATTGAAGTTATTCCTATGGGTTATGCTCCAATAAAAAATAAAATTCAAGATATTTATGGTGGTGCTGTTAATATTCGTATGGCTATTGCTAAAGCTGTAATATTATTATTTATTTATTTATTAATCAATATTATAATTAACTTGAAAAAATTTTTTAATTAATAATATTATTGTAATTTATTTTAGGGCCCAGTTGTTACAGACAATGGAAATTTTATATTAGATTGGATTTTTCCTGATAATTTGGATGAGTCATGGAACACTATAAATAATGAAATAAAGTTAATTCCTGGTGTTGTTGAAATAGGTCTATTTGTAAAAATGGCTAAAAAAATATATTTTGGAATGCCGGATGGTACTGTTAAAATACAATAATTATATATTTCATTAAAGTTATATTTTTATATTTAAAATAAAATAAGTCAAGATAATTAATAAAAAATCACTTAATCATTGAAATAAATTCAATACACGTGCATTTATTTGATTGAATATTTATTTAAAATATTTATTTATTTTATAAAACTTTAATTATAAATTTATTTTGAAAGAAAAAAAATATAAAAATACATTTTAATTAATATAGATAAAAATGATCTAATATATGTATTTCATTTAGTTAATTGAATGATCAATATTATATAATTAATAACAAAGTTTACATATTCAAAATTTAAATACACAATTTCATTCAGAAGAGATTATTAATCTACAAAATCCTTTGACGCACACGTGCTTACTCACTCATTTTATATATGATTATATAGTATATTATATATTATATACAGCATACGCATATATAGTTATTATATATATATATATATAATATGAATATTATATATACGTATTCACGTGTATTACAACACGTGAATTGTAGTTTTACTGACATATATCACATCCTATTAACTTTTTTTATTTATAATATTTAATCATTATTATTTTTATTATTTTTATAAAATTTACTTATATGAAGAAATATAAAAAAATTTTATTTACTTATTTATTTTGTTTTTTAATAATAAATTATTGAATTACAGTGACTGACCGTTGTTAACCCAGCAGGCTTAAATTAAGAAACGTTGTTTGTACTTGACTCTTACTGTTTTATTACCTACATACTACTATATTAACACAACATTAAAATAATAAAAGTACGAAAAATATTAAATTTAGTTTATTGTTATTATTATTTTAATTATTCGTAACATTTATTAATAAAAATTATCATCATACATAATAACATGCATATATTAGTAAATGTAGTTTAGTATATGAATAGAGGATATATTCAGTAGATAGATAATAATATCTTGAGGCATCTGTAAAATTTAAGATTAAGATGCAAGTCGTCAATCTCGGTTAAGTGAAGATCAATGTTCTAATATTGTATGTAAATTGCATATACTTGTCATATAAATTGAATATCTAGCAATGTCATTTAGTATATATTTCTGTATTCTGTGTGCATATTAAGTATAAATTTTCTTAAAGGTATAAATGTAATATTATTATTATTATTATTATACATTATTTTATGGAGTAAATCATTCACGCATTGCTCCGGCGCATGAACAACCCCCTTTCCGTCTTTAAATATCACTCCAACTAGGGGATATATTTGAAATCTGTTCGCTAAACTTCAACATTAATACAGAAACTCTTTTCCGTTCTTGTACTATTAATCGCAACAGAATTAATTTTTTTCTTTTATATATATTTTCACTGATGATAATAAAAAATAACTTTTTGTATTGTTAATTAGTATTGATAGTTTTAATTCATAAGATTCAATAATAATTTTTAATTAAAATAAACCCGTGTTGTAAAAATGAAGGTAAGTTTGAACTTTCTATTTTTAACTTTTTTAAATATTTAAAATATTTAAAAGGGGTGTGTTTAAATTTAATAATTGTTTTCTGTAAAGTTAAATGACTTTAAATAAAATAATGAATATTCAAAAATTTAAATACCGTTATGAAATAAAATGATTAATTAACAAATAATAATATGTTATTGACGTAATGTGTATTGTATAAATGCATAAAAATAACAGTAACTTTTGATTCTAATTGATTAATTAATTCATTCATTTTTTTATTCGTTTTTTAGATTATAAAATACTCTAATTGGGTATTAGTTGGATTATTTTTTATCAATATTGTTGACGCAGTGATAAGTGATGAGAATAATAAGGTAGTAATAAAATATTAAAATAATTAGTTACGTCTTCTTGGTATTGAATATAAAAATTTATTATAGTTTATCGATAATACATTTCAGGAATATGAATCTCTGACTATTAATGAACGCAATTCAATGAAACTTCCAGGATTAAAGCGTCCATTTTGTAATGCATTTACCGGTAAGATATGAATCGAAAGATTTTTTTTTCTTTTTAATTTAATAAAAAATAAAATTAACAAAAATAAGTATTATGTCGAAAAAAGTAGCAAAGAAATTAATAAAATGACAATAACTGATGAAAATAAGTGAAATACAAAATCAATGCTATGTGTGAAGAAATTGCATAATGTTGTAATAGCTTTTAAATTCATTGTTATTTTTTAAATTGACGATGTCATAAGAAAAATATGATATTAATTATTTCAATATTAATATTACAGGATGTGGAAAAAAAAGAAATTATATCGACAGTAGTTATGATACAACAGCCAAAAATGATGTCAATGATTCAACGATAAATATTCCGCTAAAATTGTATCAGATTTTAATGAATAATTTGAATTTGAAAATACAACAAGTGGCTAAACACAAAAATTATAGAGATAGTATTAATACCAATGATGAGGATTATATTTATTCTCCAATTCATAAAGAACCTATACGAAAACGATACAATTTTTGAAATAATAAAAAAGCCAACGAGTTCATGGCGCATGGTGCTCATGTAATATTGATAAAAATAAATTAAACGTTATTTAATGTGGAACTTGAAAAAAATTGGAATGTTATAATTAATTATTTACGTAATTACATTATTTTAATAATTCTGCGGCATTTGTCTTAGATTTACTAAACTGAGCATCATCATTGACGTAAATTTAATGCAGGGCTTTAAAAATGTAAAAAAATTGTCAAATATATAATATTATTAACAAAAACTTTAATATACAATAAAAGATATAATTAAAAGAAAAAAATTTTATATTATATTTATTACATTCTTTACGCAGTCATTAATTCCTCAGAATAATATTTGTTTTTTAATTTCATTTTTATAATTAACAACTTGTTAACTTTCTTGAGAATAAGTTTTAACATTATTAAACATATTATCAGTTATTAATTTGTTCATATAGTTTCTTATATTTAATTTAAAAAAATACAAATCATTTAAATTTAAATTCGTAATAAACACAATCAAAATTATTGGACGTGATATAGTAACCAATAAACCTTTCAGAATCCATACCAATGATACTACCAGAAATCACTGAATAAACATAAATTACACGAATCCCGAAAGTAATATTCGAAGAATTACTATGTCTATGGAATTCTTGTGACAGTGGAAAAAATAGGAGTAAACATTGAGACGTTTGGCCTCAATATTGTTAGAATTAGAGTGTAAATATGGTAAAAATAGTCGTAGATTCGATGGAATTGTTGTTAATCAAGAGGATATACACATTATAATCTGGTTTAAAAAAAAAAAAAGAAAAATTTATAATTTTAAAAATTTCTAAGTCCTTGCATTTCTTAAAAATTTACGACTACACGTATGCTATGGTGCTTAAATTAAAGCTTATGGATAGGGCTTCCATATGCAATTTACAGATATTCAATAAGTAACCCCATCCCAAAATTATAAAGGACAGAAAAAAAAAAAAAGAAAAGCGAAGAGATATAATTCCAAGATGCGGTCCTAAAATATGCACAAATGGAATTACAAGAGCTATAATCCATTTTAGCGTCGTATTTGGTTTATAACTTTCAAACTACCTGACCAATCTGCCCGTTCTTCGTCTAGATCTCTTTCTTGTGATAAAAGAAAACAAAATGGCGGCGAAATGGTAAACAAAATGGCGGCGAAATGGAAAACAAAATGGCGGCGAAATAGTAAAGGATCCATTCGTTGAATCTCAAACTAACCCGTGATTAACGAGGATCCTGGACGGTGACAGCTCTTAATTCTAGCTCGAGTCTGCTAAAGAAAGTACCAACTTACCAGTACTCTCTACTACTTAACTCTCCAGTAGCAGTAACATCGGGACCAGTAGTTAAGCTTCCGCTTCCAAACAGACTGTTGAGATAGTAGTAATAATAATAATAATAATAATAATAATAATAGTAATGGTACTACAAGTATACCAGTTACTGTTCTTCATCCAAACTCAGCTCTCAATCCAAACTCTCTTCCATTTCGTTAAATAAATATCGTGAATTTTTTATGTTTCAACATTGTTATATACATTTTATTTTCAGTAAATCAATAACAAACCGTCGTCGTCTACATTATATTTTTGCTTTTGTGTGTTGTTATTCTTTTTTCACCATTAAAATATTATTTACCCACAAAACAGTATCATTTTATTTATTTAGTGAGTTAGTTTTTTTTTTTTTTTTTTTTATATTATTAAGGCTCCAACAATTTCAAATAAACCATTAAATAATAATTTTTATTTTTAAAAATAAATGTTAATTATTTTTTTTAAATAAAAGTATCTGGGTCAGTGAATAGTAGTTTTAATTCTGTCGATCCAACAGCTCCATCTCTTTTAGTATAACGTCTGGATAGAAATAATCCTTCTCCTCTTTTTCCTTTATTTTCTCTTCTCAGTAGTAGTCCTCAGTATAGTATAGTTTTGAGTTTTTCTACTATCAAGCCCAGCTGTACAGCTGTACAGAGGTTGCTTCTATCTATCTATTATCTATTGCCTTTCGTATATACATATATATATCCTATAATCTTCTGATTCTCTGATTCTCTGATTCTCTATGTCTATATACATGCTTCTATCTATCTATCTATCTTTAGTTGGTATTGAAGGAACCATCGTCTTCAGGTATGCCTACTGGAAGGTAATGCTCAAAGGCGTTATGCAGCTCATCCTACGTGAGTTACTCGAGATTCTATAAATTGATAATTTCTGGTTGAATCGCACAACAAGAATTGTTATGATATTCCAGATCCCTTTCATCTTATGTATCTTATATACTATACATACATACCTTTTTTTAAATTCATTAATTTAAAAAAATATTATTATTATTATTATTATTATTTTATTTAATCTATTTGCTCAATCGTATCTCATATTTACTCACGACTCAAATAAATTCACTGTTTACTGATTTATTTACTGGTATATGAGAGTATATATACAACCACTGAAAGCAAAAATTTTATTTATCTATTTATCTATTGGTCGATTAAACAAATTATCATTTTTTATTGATATTATTATTATTATTATTATTATTATAGATATATATTTATCGTTTTCTTTTTTCAGTACTGTAATTTTCGTTAATTAAAAATAGGGTAAAAAAAATGAGTGGTAGTATTGCAATGCGTAGAGTAGTAATTTAATTCAATATAATATATGTATGGGTGTTGTTGAATTGTAGTTAGCTATTCACATAAACAATTTGATTCTCTCTCTGTATATACTGTATATACTGTATATACTGTATATACTGTATACAGTATTCTAAAATTAAACTAAAGTCCGCAACTATGCCCAGTTTATATATGTCTATATGTTTTGGCGTGGTTGTTTAATTAGTCTTGTTACGGAAGCCACTGCAGCGAGACATCCCCCAACATAACAGCAGTCAGTGGTACTCGCAGTTTCACCAGCTTCACAAATTCTTAAATTCTCAAATTCTATACAATTATAAAATTATAAATTCAGTCAAAACATTCTATACTTACCAAAATAAATATATACTATATATTTACTAACAAAATTATAATAATAAACAAATTTTTATTACCAATAAAACCAATTAAGGTTGTTAGATTTTATGTATTTAATTTCGATTTCCTAAAAGAATTTTAATTAAACAACTTAAATATACTTTTATCGATGGGAAAACAATTACCAATGTCTTTCTGAAATATTTTCCCCCTTTTATTTACTTTTTCAACGGAATTAATTAAACTCCTTGTTTATAATTAAACTTTTTTTTTTTTTTTATTTTATTTATCTAAAATTAAGAACAATAATTTATTGAATCTAAACGACAATGATTAATATTATTATTTTTACAAATAAACTCGCATTATTGCAATGAGATGATAAAAAAGAAAGTTAAAAAAAAAAAATAAAATTCGTTATGCGGTAAAAGAGGGAAAAACTAATTGAACCAGCGTGACTGTAATAAAAGGTATAAAATTAATTTTATACCTTTGAGGAGAAGAAGAAGAAGAAGAAGAAGAAGAAGAAGAAGAAGAAGAAGAAGAAAAAGAAAGAGAACAAGAGGAGCAAAACTTGTGAGACACCTAATTATTAATTAAATTATTTATTACTCTGATTAATTTATTGTCTTTATTAGTATTTTTAAGTTATAAGGAGTAAAGGATTCGCATAAAACCACTCGTGTGGGATAATAGAGTATAGATATGAATTTCGTATAAATGATTTAGATCCAAGAGGATAATTCGAGGTAGGTACATTCGTCTCTCATTTCATAAAAATAATAATTAAATTTTTTTAAATTAACATTACTCTCGGGTAATAGATAATAAAAGTAATAAAGTTTTTTACGAGGGCTTTAAACTAAAATCACTTAAATACTTAAAAAAGAGTTATTAATTTTAGTTAACTGAAATGATATATAGTATGATGGTTGGTAACTAAAAGTAGTCGAATCTATTTTCTGTCAGACGTCGACATTCACGTCGAGAAACTTTTTATTATTAATAAAATAATAGAAACATTATTATTATTATTATTATTATTAAACTGTATATATTTATATCCTGAAATTTATAATAAATTTATATTATTGAGTCTGTTGACTAATATAAATACACACACGTGTAGATTGTTATAATTAATAATCCCAATTTATATTAATATATTAAATACATGTTTGATAAAATTTATTCATCTGCAAATACTTTATTCATTTAAACAGTGTAATAAACTTTACGATAATACATCATGGATTATCGTCATATAATAATCTACCGGTATCACAATTTATATAATTATATTTCCAGTATTTATCCATTCATTTATTATTATTATTTACTTGATTAACATTATTTGTATTTAATTAATTATTTCCAAAAGGTTTTGTGTAGAAAAAAAAAATTTATATTATTTTATATACAGAATTTTATAAAAAAACACTTAAAGTATTTTTAAGTGTAAATTTATAAATAGTATAAAGAAAATAACTAGTTAACATAAATTAGAGATCCTTATATTATCGTTGTACGAAAAAATAATAAAAATAATCAACAAGGTCTGTGAGATAAGGAATCTTAACCACACTCATGCAATTTATTACCCTTGAACTCTAAATAAATGCCAGCAATTTAGGGGTTAGAATGTAACCGAGGGTTTTTTTAGTATTGTTGAGGATAGGAGGACTAAGAGCTGAGAAAAACTGAGAAAAAAAAAAAAAAAAAAAAAAAAGTCTCTACAAGAAATACAAGTTCAAAGGGGAATGCCATCGTCGTACATGCCGTATAACGAAACACAAAAGACCTATTATATTGCTTTTTCCGAGTCTCACGTTTTAAGTATATAGCAAAAAAAAATTATTAGCTTTTTTATTTTTTCATTATCTCATTGTCTATCTTAATTCCTATTTGATTGATTATTATTATTATTATTATTATTTTAATATCTATATTTTACAACTACCATGATGTTTTTTTTGACGGCCCCCATGTCTCTGTTAATCTAAATAAATTCCAATTTCGCTGGCAAAAAAAAAAAAAAAAAAACTATTATTACATTAACTGCAACAATAAATATTATAAATAAAAATAATTAAATTGCTTACGGGTCCTTTGTAGAAACAATAAATGAAATAGAGAGGAAGTGGCGCCAGTGTTGACAAACCAATAAAAATCCCGATCAGATTTGCCCAATCCGGAAAAATATATTTACCATAGTACACTGGTGTAAATATGTACATTTGATAACCAAATACACCCTGATAAATATAATTTTATTTAAAAATAAAAGTTTAACATTTCAAGTTTGATAAATTAATAAATATTTATAATATATAATGTTTCCCATAATAGTGATTAGATATAGTAGGTAATATCTAGGATAACGGATGTAGTATAGTTAATGAATTGATTGACGGATAATATTATGTTAAACATATATGTATATTAGAGTTGCTTGAAAATTTTGGGTAACAGTATGTAGTATATATATATATATATATATATATATATATATATATATATAGTATTGATAGAAATAACTTACCCTGAACGGTTTCATAATAGCATTTAAAACAGATGTGGTGTCCTGATAAAATTATAAACGTTGAACTGGGTAACATTCCACTCTGGTGCATGCTTACTTCTGAAAAAAATAAATAGACGTTAGTACTTTAGTAATTAAAACCATTTTATTTTATTTAAAAATTTTTATTACCTTTCGATTGTCGCTCGTTTCATTCTGATAAATTTCTGAGGTCACTATATAGGTATGCAATCACTATTTTCCAACTCATTGCCTGTAAAACGATTATTTCTTATTTATATCGTTAAAAATATTTATAATCTGTTCAATATAAGCAAATAATCATGAACGCATAGTTGATAAATAAAAATAATTAAATATTTTGTTGAATCTTAGATTACTCATCGAATATTCAATAATTTTTTATTAATGAAGAATATTTAGACCAGCAGAATATTCAACAGTAATATGAATATGTGATATTCTGTCTCTATTTGAACTAGCTACAATTTTTTTTTAATTTTTCGTAATCTATATTATTAAGAGAATAAGCAAAATTTTGTGACCAGTGTATTTATATGATAAAATGGGTTTTTATGGTTCAATTTGGTATCATTGGAAAATTCTTGACTTGAATTTGTGACTTTTCATGGTTTCATATAATTCTCATCAATAGTTATTTTATGATGAAAAGTATTTAGACTAAATGGCATGTCCATTTCGGCAATATTGTCCAAGAATTTGTTACACCCGTAACACCAAGCTGGTACAGCGACCTCCAGCAATCCAATTAACAGTATTGCCCAGGACGCTGTATTCCAATCCATCAGCGTATTAAGATATACTCCGCCGTCGAATATCATTGGTAATGCCAAAATCCATCCACATACGCATATTACAAGTATCACCAAGCTCTCGTGTTTTCGTAAACTCGGTCGTACATCGAGAATAGCGGTGTTTATCGCTTGAACCCCTGCAAACTGTGATTGATGTTTGTAAACAGCCATTACACATTAAACGTCTAATATATACACCAAGTGATTGGTATTGGTATACTGGTATACTGGTATACTGGTATAGACTGCATCGACGGCAATACCAAAATACAACTTCTATCAATTCTCCCTTCTATTCTCTTTGATCATATCCTTTAATTAAACTAAACGCGGTCAATTATTCTACTCAGATTGATACATTTTTCTTTTTTTTCTTCTTCTTTTTGTTATTTATAATGATAATAAATTGTGATGACAATCCCTTAAATTTAAACACACGTATCGGTGTATTTATCACCAGGTGAATAACTGGGACGAGTAAACAATCAGAAAAAAAAAAAAAAAAAACGAGAATAGTACGTATAAGCCGAGAGTGTATACATCTCTACATCTATATATATATACGTATAGAAGAGAGTTACGAGGATATTAGTGGTGGTTCGTGACCCGTGTTGATGTTAGTGGAGATCTGTTGTATAGGTGGTGTTATGCTGAAGCTAGCTGTACCAGCTGTTAGTTATACATATATTAGATAGCAGTATGGTGGTAGTAGTGGACTCTCCAGCAAGCTTAATGCATGCACGCGCGTTATTTCAATATAACCAGAGCATGCACACCCGCGGCGGTATAGCAGTATAGCAATACACACCTCCCCCTCCCCCCGCCCCTTCCCCCTTAAGCTCCCTTTTTCTCTTGACTACACCACCACCACCACTATCACCGCTCTGACAGAATGACGACCAGACAGAGTTGAATGGGTTTAAAAAAGAGCAGGCGGAAAAAATAATAAAATACTGAAAGACTCGAAAAAAATAAAATAAAATAAAGCATTGTAAATATTCTGGGGTATACATATATTTATTCTGTCTATACAAAGATTAATAAAACACAAAGAAAAAGTGAAAAAAGTTTTCGTACTCTCTGCTCAGATGTTAATTTAACTAATTGCTTGCCGGTAATTTAATTATTTAGGTATGTAATTAGTAATTATAATAATTGTTAACTAGGTTAATTTAATTACCTGGCTGCCAAGACCGAGAATAAACAGCATAAAAAAAAATAAAATAGCCCAGAGATTTGAGAGTGGCATTCGTACAACTGCTTCTGGATAGGCTATGAATGCTAAAGCTGGCCCACTCTTAACGACATCCTCCAATGGTAAATCCATTTGTTTTGCCAAATATCCCATTATTGAAAATATAACAATACCCGCAAATATTGAGGTGAATAAATTTGTAAATGTTATAAATATCGCGTCTCTGTAACAATAAATAAACATATATTATTAATCATTTTTATTATTAAACTTTATTAAATCACTTTTTTTAGTCCTGTTAAAAATTTATTATCCATTTTTTATTTCTGTTGTAAGAATCAGGGCAAGAAAATTTAAAGAATACTTAAAGTATAAAAAAAAAAAAATGAGCTTACTCAGATTGAAAGCCTCGGGCAACCACCTCTCAGTAGATAATAATAACCAACTGAATCGTAAGTGTTCTACCAATTTATACCATTTAACCATTTACTTGAAAGTTATCAATATCTAATTTATCAAATAATATTTCATTTAAATGATTGAGTATCTATGATAATAACAATAATAATAACTATAAATAAATAATAAAATAGTGGTAAATGGATCGTTATGTTTCAATAATTTAGAAAAAAAAAAAAAAAAAAACGATTCGTTCGTTTGGTACCTATCTATCTGTTAACAAACAGCAAAAGTGTATTCGGGAGAAAATTTCAGGCTTTCAATCAACATCAATTCTCTTTCCCCCTTTTACTCTTCCCAGTCCAGTCCCAGTTTCTCTCGATATAAATCTCTGTATATTTATGGATTTATGTGTACATAAAATTTCCCGGTACACATCAATGATACAAAATTCGTGGTGAATTTAATCGTCAGTATCATGAGTTGATGATACTGATACGTGAATATGACAAATAACGAAATACAAATAAAAATCTATATAGATATGTATAAATATATCAGTGGGTTTGAGGAGGATTTGAAAAAAAAAATATATATATATATATAAATAAATCTCGAGTTAATAAAATATATATTTTCGACATTGAGTGGCACTTGTGATGATAACACACCTCAACGGGTTTTTGAGTTGCTGCTGATATGCCGAAGCTGTGTATACCTTTCAATACGCAATTCTATACGTTTTGTAATAAATTATAGCAATGATAATAATAACAACAGCATATTAAATGTGGATAATGATTGAAAGAGTACGAACCCTTACATATATATATATATATTGACTGTCATTTATATTTGTGTTAGTGTATGTGTAGATGGATAAGGACGAATCTCTAGAGATATATCGCGTCTCATGCGGCATTTTATCAGGAACGTCGCCAACGATCTCACGAGCTCAAACCGTTTGTACTTGCTACACCAGAAAAGGTATAGAGAAGCTGGTGAATGATCAAAGTTAGTTCTTACTCCTGTCAGACTATGTCACGTACCTGTTTACTAAACTCAAGCCCTGGGACCTGAGAACTGAGAACTGAGTACTGGGACCTACGACTAAACTTTATTCATACAAAGTATCTTACATTTTAACATCGATTCACTCTACCCAACTTCAATAACTATATTTAATTAAACAGCTTCACATTTCAGATCAACATTGATTTTATCTTTTAATATTTTATTTTTTTTTTTTATTAATCCAATAATTATTTTTAAATTATCCAATTCTCTGACTTTTTTCATATATAAATAATTTTATTTATTTTAAATTTCATGTAGTGAAAAACTAGTCACCACAACTTATAAAAGTAAAATAATAATTCATGAATTGATTAAACTTTGACAAATTCTGTCAAAATATGACAAACTACTATTGTATATTTTTTATGAAAAAATAAATATACATGTCAGACATGTCAAAAAAAAAAAAAAAAAAATAATAATAATAATAATAAAATTACTTTATTATTAAAATAAAGTTAAATCTGTCCTGTCTGTCCTACTTGAGTGGTTTGATATAAATAGAAAAACTAGAATCAATAATTTATAATTGAGAAAATGACTTATATTTGTTGAAATAAATGTCTATTAAAGATTTATAAAGGAAATGTCATTGTATTAAAATATTGAAAGATGAATATATTGTTTAGAGATGAGAGAATTTGATAAAAATGAGAAAATGATTTATATTTATTAGATGAGAGTAGGATAGATGTGTCATATGTGTATATATGTAGAGTACTGGGAGTATACCAATACTCTTAACATCTAGGAACACACGGAATAGGTAATATAGTATATATATATATATATATATATATATATATAACAACTACTGTTTACTTGTAAATAAATAGTGATTGACTGAAAGCGATTGGAAGTTACCCGGTACGCGGTACGTGGTACGCGGGTACGGATTGATAGCGTCACTGGTGACTGAATTTAGGGTACAAACCTGTGGCAATTATTCGAAAACGTACTGAAGCTCGATATCGTGATCAGAGATCCGCAACCAATGCCCAGGGAATAGAAGATTTGTGATGCAGCATCACCCCAAACTTTTGCATCAAACAGTGTTGGCCAGACCGGTGTGATAAACCATTTTATACCATATTCAGCACCATCAAGAGTTAAACCTTGAAAAAAATTAATAATTATTATTATTATTATTATTATTATTAAATATCTAGATATTGTAATTATATAATGTATACCTCGAATTAAAAGTGCGATCAATACAAAGTACGGAAACAATGCAGTAAAGTATACAATCTTCCCGACGGATTGAACGCCTCTTATTAAACAGAGGTAACAAATAATCCAGGCAAGAGTGAGACAACCCAAGAGCTCCCATCTTATGCCGCCCCAATTATCCCAAGTAGCGCCTCGTATTCCGAGTACGTAATCGCTACAACCAACGGATTCTATCATTAGATACGTCCAAAATAATCCCAAGACAGTAAGACAGTAAGACACTCTCTGTTAATTATTCACTTAATAATTATCCGCTCTCATTTTTCATTTTACATTTATTATTATCTATAGTACAAAATATATATATATCATCGAAAATATTAATTTTAATCTATCAATCATTTACCTAAAATATTCCTCAGATGAGAGTACACTGTCGTACAATTTACGAATTGGTTTCTGGTGTGTCTCGTTAAAGCAGTAACTTTTGTTTCCTTTATCATATCCAAAATTATAGCAAACTTTTGTTATTAATTGGCAGGTTTTATTAAAAAATATTGTAGTTGAATTAGTATCCTGACACTGTTTATCCTCCAATCCACTGTAACAATCTATAAATAAAAAAAAAAAATATTATTATTATTATTATTATTATTATTATTATTATATGAATAGACAATAATTTGTCACTGGGATACGATAATATTGTTGGTGTGGTGTTACTCGTGTTACACGGACGATGATATTGGCTATGGTCTAACGATTACCGTACATACTGTACTGGGCAAATTTACCGAGAGAAGCAGGGTAACGCCTGAAGGTAGTTAGGTAGCTGATAGGATCGTTGGATGGTTAGATTGTTGGGTGGTGTGTTTTGATGGCCCAGCTTGTTGGTTTCTATCCTAGTCAGTACTAGGGGGAGTACAGAAGAAGGATCACTAGATCTCTCTCTCTATATATATATATATATATATATATATTCCCTATATATAAAGGGAAAGTGGATTGCAGATTTAGCTTTCAGCTTTTAGCTCTCAGGTTGTGAGCTAGTTGTTGGGCTTTTTGAGAGGCCCTTTAGACTAGACGATAAGTAGGTTTCAAGGCTACAGTTTAACCAACAATGCGGATAAATTACATCCGGTCAGCCGTTTGATGTAGTATCATAATACTAGCTGTACTTTACGCATCTATATATATATATATATATAAGCCTGGAGACCTACTACTACTACTACTAATACTAGTCACTATCTATGGTAGGTACTACACATGACTTAATGACTCGGCTTTGTGGTTATTCTACAGGTTTCCACTGGTACTGGCGTTTTGCTCCTCGTTAATTTCTATAAGCTATACTACTAGACTATATACTATTATACAAGAGATGATAGAGAACCTCCTCTGATATATCATCATACTCATTATCTCATTCTCTTTCAATAAACACCCCTTTTCTCAAATTACCATTAATTATCTTAATTGATATATTATTAATTTTCAATATACTATATACTATATACTATATTATTATTTAAAAAAAAAAAAAAAAAGAAAATAATAGAAGCTATAAACATTTTAAATTTTAATACTCGTAAACGCGAAAAGTGTCGGCTCTGAAGCCGGTGGTTTTAATAACAACGATAAGACGCAGACGGTGTGACTAGTGCTGATGCTGGTACTGGTACTGGTTGTGATCATATCCACCAGCATCACCTTTAGCTTTCCTTTCCTTTCCTTTCCTTTCCTTTCCCCCAAGTGAGCGAGAGAGTGCTTGGATAAATATTATCGTAGTTTAATCTTACGGTACCGTGCGGATCTACAGGTATATATAGAAGTAGACAAGAAGACAAGTAGACAAGTAGACAGGCAGACAACCAGAGGAGAAGATGTAACGACGCGAGTATATATCTACCCTCATCAGGGTTTCTCCTCCTGTTTTTCTTACTCTACATGCATGTATCTAAAATCTATATATTTAAAAGTTAACAACGCGCCTCAAAGGGTTTATGTGTATTTTAGTGGGTGCCTGATAATGATGATGATGATGACTGTAAGCATTACCTGTACCACCTCTATTACTATTTTTATATTTGGTTTTCAAGCGTAAATACTATTGTTTTTTCAGTTATATAAAAATAATAACAATAATAATGAGTGGACATTTGGTTGAGAGGATAAGGATATAAGGATGTGAAATGTTAAGGGAATAATAATAATAATAATAATAATAATAATAAAAAACTTACTTTCAGTATTGAAGCCATTGTCACAGTATGCCCAAGCGAGTTTACTTGAAAATGAGGCAAAAGTGTAAAACAGTGTCCAAGCTATTATCACCATGTAATAGACAGTTACTAATCCAATTACCACGAGGGTGCAAATCCCGAGACCCCCGAATGCTGGTGACATACGACGGTAAGCTTCCATTGGACCTACTCCTGTGTACTGACCAATGCAGAGCTCCATGAAGAAGATTGGCAGGCCCATTGTTATCAGCATCAATATAAATGCTATCAGAAATGCGCCTATACATAACATATAATAATACATATTATTTAAAAGTATTATCAAATGGATGAGAATCAAAAACTAAGAGTGTAGTAGAGATATATATAACATATACGTCTGATAGATGATATTATAATATAAAATAAAAGATAATAAAAGATAAAAGAAAAAGAAGGATATAAGAGAATAGAAGAGAAGTAGGATCAAATGTCCAACAGAGCGTACTGGCTTATGACACGTTGAACCGGTGAACCGGTGAAGAAGAGAAACTATAGTAGGTATATAGGAGAATTAGTTTGAGGTGAAAAGGCCAAACGCTGGGCGTGTCAACTCAACTTCCATCAACAGCCCCTCAAACTCCTATATCCTACATCCTATAAATCCGATACGAGGTTCTTTAAACTATATATTATTATTATTAATAAATAAACACTGATTGAGATATATTAGTAATATTATTTGGTTAAATCATTAAAGTGTTTATTTATATAGGTATAAGATCAAAGAGTATACTTAATTATAGTTAAATATGTGAGAATGTATATCAATTCATAAATAGTTTTTAAATAAAAATAAATGAATGATGTAGATGCAGATGCAGATCTATGTTTTGAGTAATCAAACTAACCTCTGCCATTACGGTAAACAAAGAAGGGAAACCGCCAAACATTTCCAATTCCAATGGCATACCCAATGCAAGATAAAATAAACTCTGTTTTATTAGCCCAACCAGTGCGTTCTGCTGGTAGTTCAACAAATGCACCGCCAACTCCCAGCGATAACTTTTTCTTAGCCTGCAACAAACATTATTATTATCATTATTATTATTATTATTATTATTATTATTATTATTGTATAATTGTTATTCAAATAAATATATATATATATATAATCTTATCTAGTCTGTAGATTTGTCTGAGCACTTTGCACAAGTAGTAATCACGTCAATAAAATATAAAAAAATTTATCTCAAAGTTAACAAAATAAATAGAGAAAAGCAAAATTCGCTGAGAAAAAATATACAATATAGATTGATTGATTGATTGATTGAAATATATACTGTGGACGATAGTGGTAATAAGAGAAGTAGTATTTGAAGCGATTTCCGAGGAATAAACGTTTGTCTTAAACAGTACAAAATCAAGGAAAATAAAATAAAATGGAAAGGGATACAAGCAGAGTTTCTATCCGTTGGTGGTTTTTCCCATTGAAAACAAAATCACGGCTGACAAAATTGCCGCGGTTTAAACGCCAGCCAGCTAGACAGCATAGCCAGCATAGCCAGCATAGCCAGCATAGCCAGCATAGCCAGCTAGCCAAACACCCACCCACCATCTACCAACTGAAAGAGGACAAGGATCAGAATGGGGATGAGAATGAGGATACGGCAATATGTCGATGTGTCGTCGTGAATTTAACACCATCACCCACTATCACTACTACTACCACTATAAATGTACATGTATTGAATTTAAACACAAGTGTATTTAGCAAGCATCGCAGTTACGGACAATTTAATGGTTTTCGACTAGTACAAAAGCCCAAGGGATATACCCACCAGCTACCAGTTACCAGCTACCATCAGCACAGGTGGACTAGCTCTCAAATCACGTTAATGGATCTACTGCGTTGATTTTACCCATGATAAAATAAAATAACTTTGTTTATTGATTAATTTAATCACCGGTAATCAAATATCCGTATTTATTTATTTCAAATAAATTTACTTTTTTTTTTTTTTTTTTCTTTGTTTTTCTTTTTTTTTTTTTTTTATTAAATTACCTTTGGTGATTCAATACGATCCAGTGTCATTGTGAACGATGATTACTATACTGAGAGAGGGAATAATAATCTAGTAGATTGCCGAGAGTTACCAAGACTATAATACACTGTTATCACTTCCGAATCGCTTTTAATGATTGGATTATATGGCCCGGTTTACCATACATATATATATATATATATATATAGAGAGACTTACTAACGTTATCTGCCGGCTGGCTAGGCATTAATACATTAATACATCTTCACAAACGGATTTAAATCTTTGTGTAACACTTTAATACAAATATACCAATTAATTTAACTGTTGTATTATACGTCTATACTTAAATTTACCTATTTTTTATCCTACCACACTGTGATGTTATCACCATTACTGTGCAGTGATTAACAATAAAATTCTTCTTTTTATCAATTACCTCAAAAAATAAATAGTTGATAATAATTCACTCACTGACATCAATTGATGAACGTGGAAAAAAAAAAAAAAACATCTATATGTGTGTATATCAATCTTATGATAAATTATAATAATTTAAAAATTTTTTTTATTTATTATTTATTTAAAATTATGATCTGTCTGAAAAAATATTATCCAAAATAATAAAATAAAATTTATTTATTGTCGAGATTAATTCTTTATTTTTTATTGTATTCGTTTCATCTTTTTACTAAAATTTCTTTATATTTTTTTTTCATCCCGTCAAATCTTGTTCGGATTTCTGTAGATTTCTGTAGATTTCTGTAAGCCGGATGCTACTGGATCTGTAGAGCTGCATTTTAAAAAGTTTAGTGCCAACAATGCTATTATAAAACATCGAATCCTACTCCTGAAATAAGTTAAAGCTTTTACACAGGATTTACTCAAAAAATATATATTACATTTTTTTTATCCTTTACGTTACCAAAAAAAAAAAAATATTTTTTATCCGTATTTATATAACATTGTATTTTTTTATATGTTTTATATGCATGCAACAAAATATCTCAGACTCTTGTGAGTAAAAGTAAAGAAAAGAAAAAAATTCAACCTCTATATATATATATAAAAAAGAAATGTATTATATCTTCAATATCAACTATTGTATTAAAAATTTCTACCTTATTGGCTCACTGTAAGATATTATATGTTCTATATTATCTGCAAAAGGTACAATCATCTTGCCGATAGAACAAGAATTCTTTATCACAAAATATTACGGTATTCCCGTATTTTACGACAGGAAATAGTATACCTGAGGTTGTTTAAGTTAAATTATTGAACTTACTGTTCTCAAAACGGTAAAAGGTATTATAATATAATATATGAATATCATCAATAGCTCTTTTTATTGACTTGAAAGTCGACAAAACAGTGGATGGTAATGTTGAAAATTAATTATACAAATATAATAAAAAATATTTCTTCTATCATTATTATTATTATTATTATTATTATTATTATGATAGAATATAGAATGAAAAGTTGAAATTAACTGAAGAAAGTTTTAGTTTTGAAACAAGTAACATCTCAATTAAATCTTGAATATTGTATACATTGCAACTGATTGCACCTTCTTAATTATATTTAATAAAAAGTTTTTGTTATTTTACTTACGACTCATCAGTAAGCGGAGATTAAATTAAACTATAAAGTTAAACCTCTTCCATTTGTTGCTTATACTATGATTAAGAATATAAGAGAGCTAGAATGAGAAAAGGATTTTTAAAAAAATACTCGAGATTAAACATTTTTTTAATTTTTTTTTATTATTCCAGGTGTTATTATTTTTTCTTCTTTTATTTTATCAGAAAATACGTATAATTTATTTATTTTTGTCATTTTTTTGTGAGTGATTCAGTGTCTTACATAGTATACAGGTTTACAGGTATTTTTTATTTATTTATAAATAATTATCATAAACTAATATATGTATACGAAATACCACATTCAAAGCTCGAAAGTAATACCAGAGTGTTTATTATATATATATATAGATTTTTTTCTTTTTTAAATTAATTATTGTATTTATTATTATTATTATTATAATATTTTGTGAAACTTTATATTGCTCGAGGTAATTCAAGACGTGTATATTCCACAAACACAAGCGTGCATTGGATACAATTTTTTTATTTATCATTATTGTTATTTTTTTTCACCGAAACAGCATTATATTATTATTATTATTATATTTATCATCATCTAATAAAATTATCAATTCAAGATAAAACAGTCTACTGTTAATTATTAAATAGTATATTATTGTTATTTTTCATCTCAATAATAAATTTAGAAAAAAAAAAAAAATGATAATTCAATAAAAGTATGGATATTTTTTATTTATTTATTTATTTATTTATAATACAATGCATATATCAATGCCCTAAACATTTAATTCCCCACAATATTTAATATTTTAATAGTTGTGGTACACTCTTACCTAATAATATGTTTCTATTATTTCATTTTTAAACACCTGTCAACTCGTTATTATTATTATTATTTATAAATAAAAATAATTTTTAATTATGTATTATAACAATAAGTTATAATACATAATATATTATTAGCATTTCCTAGGCCCATTTAAAGTTATCTCTCATATATACAAATTATCATATCGCATTCATATACAATATTAATAAAAGTTAATTTAATGGCAATCTCGGTCCCAATTACACTCTTTACTTAACATTATTTTTTATAATATCAATAAAAGGACAGACATTATTATTTTTCAACATTATTAAGTCTACTTTTATTATTAATTAATTAGCGGCCAGCGTCTATCAATACAGCAACAGCAGAGTATTTATTAAAATATTATACTAATGATAATAGTTCAACCATTGAACATTATTATATTAAATAATTATAATAAAATTTAATAATAATTATTGCACAACGAAAGGAGAATCTGAAAGGGAATTCGGTAATCGTTTATTATTTTTATTTTTAATATACATGTATATGTTACAATTATTTTTGCTCAACTATTTTTGTGAAAACTAAAACGACTTTAGTAATCACAAAAATTGCCGTATAAAAAAGTACAAAAGTAGTTATACACAATTAATAACAGCAATGTTTTTTCTTTATATTTTAGAGATTAACAATTACCTACAGTTTAAAAGTTTCTTTAGAATAATTTTACATACTAATAATAACTAAATAATAAAGTTTTTAATAGACTAGATTATGGAGTTTTGGGGGGCTCTCTTATATTATTATACTTATTATTTTTGGTCGTTGTTCCAAAAAATCATTATTAAATCCATTTGACAAATTTTATCTATATATAGAGAAAAATAAATATAACTGTTAATAAAAGATTCAATATTGATTTTAAACGACAAAAAAATAAAAAATATAAAGATATAACTCCATAATCCGGTTGTTTTATTTAATTAGACAAAAGTATTAGTAAAAGTTGGTATAATTTATTAATATTAATATATAAATATTATTAAAACGATTATCGAATAGCCTCTCAGTTCTCTGCGACCTTGACCTTCCTTAAACTTTTAACTCCTAATTAGCAATTGTTAACACTCATTTTAGCTTATTATTAGCTTAATAAACAAACATATTGGTCGATTCGTTGAACCACTTTATTTTCAATCTATATAATATTGTATTGAAGAAATGTAAAAAAAAAAAAAAAAACGTAAAATTATGGACGAAAGTTTATAATCTCTTCGAGTAACATGGACGCTACTATTATTTATTTCGTTTCATATATTCAAATTCAAATCATTCTATTTCATTCGCTTATTATTATTATTATTAAAATTATTAATATTATTATTATTATTATACTTTCCACCGTACTTTGTTTATATTTAATAAAAAGTTCGTTGCACTCATTCCATTAAATTAATTAATTTTTTTATTTTACTCGAATCGACCATTATTAAAATTCTATCTAATCCATAAATCCATATTCGATGTTATTAATATATACATATTTAATTGTAAATAAAATTTAATCAAACTTTATATTTTTTTAATAAAATAAAAAAATAATTAATTATACATTTAATCTATTTAAAATTTTATTAACATGGCAACGATTAAAAGCTCACAATAATATTCTAATAATTATTATCATCATCATCATCATCATCATCATCATTATTTATAAACGGAATAGCATTTAGAATATATTTAAAATAATTAGATAAATACTATATTTATTATTATTATTATTATTATTATTACAATATTGAAGCGTATTGCGGTACGTGTATTATATATATCCAACCCTCAAAATCCAATGAAAAATTTATTTGTTCCATTTTCTTACAAATCTATTGCCTACCAGTACAAAGATAAAATAAAAATAATTTATTTATTTATTAATATTTATTGTTTATTTTATTTTATTTTTTTTTTTTTAGACTCTTTCTATAATTCCTACTCCAAAATCGCACTTGATCGGACAGATAAAATTGGATATTTGGTAAGAAAATATATATTTTATTATTATTATTATTATTATTATCATTATTATTATTACGATTATTAATGTTATTTTCAAAAAAAATGTGTCGGGTATGTCGGCAAAAAGCTATTGCCGGATATGGTAAATATGTATATTAGTTCGATATTCAATAAATATATGTAAATATATATATTTTTTTTTATATATAATATATATTTATACAACAAACGCGAAAATGCGTTACAATTACAGTAGAGATATTTATTATTAGGATATTTTATTATTTAATAATAGGATGTGAAAAATATGTGTCAGTATGTGTAATACTGCTGATAAAAATATTCGTCCATCGACGATGATAATTGTTAAAATATATAATATTTTTAAAAATATGCTTATTTATTATTATTATTATTATTATTATTATAAGCACGACAAAGTTTTATTTGTTCAATCTGTCACGTCTCGTATAATCGATCAATCAATCACTTTTATAGTATTATTTATTTTTTTTTCATGACAACTTTATAAATATAATACAAGGGTATCACCAAAAAAAACAAAATTACAACTGGTGACAAGTATTTTGTCTAATCCGCGAGTTACAATCGATCATTGGATCTAAAATTTCGGATCAGCTATAGTTGAAGACAAATTTATCATAAATATAATTTTATTAATACAAAAATGACAAAGGAATCTATCAAATTTTATTGTAATAATAATAATAATAATAATAATAATAATAATTAAAACACTCCAGTATTATATTGTAATAATGATAATAATAATAATAATAATAATAATTTATACTCCAGTATGATTGAAAATATAAGACACATTGCTATCCTGATGTACTGGAGGTGCGTGATAAGTACGTCGTGTTGATGAATTATTGTTAACATAGTATGAAGACTTTCTCATGCTCGTTGATGAAGACATAATAGCGACTGTCTCATAATACCTGAGTTTACCGCAACAACGGCCACTTTTAAGTATAGCCATAAATCCACGGCGATATTTTTTATTAAAAAATGCATAAAGAATGGGATTAATGCATGAATTACTAGAACCCAACCACTGGGCAATAGGCGTAGCTATCATTTGTACCTCTTCTTCCCATTCAGCTTGTTCTCCACCAAGTTTTATTCGTGCAAATATTACGTAGAGCGGTAGCCAGGACAATACAAATAGTATAACAACAACAACCAACATTTTAACAACCTTTACCTTTGATTTTTGTTGTATCCTTTCCATTTGGGCGTCCTTGGTGTCTGTAGGTATATTACGACGCCATACTTTTATCCAGATAAGGATGTAGCACAAGGATATTAGTATCATCGGGAGTACGTAGCACAGCAAAAGATTACCGATTAGGAAAAATAGTGTGCCGTCTTGGGGGCGCGGCCAACGCTCAACGCAAAACCTCATCTCCGGGTCATCACCGTATTTTATCAAGTCGAAAAATAAAAGCCACGGAGAGGTTGCTGTTAACGCTATAAACCATATTACAACTATTATCATTCGAGCTCGTCGTTTTGTTATCTGACACTTCATTGGCCACCATATCGCCAAAAATCTGAAACAATAATAAAAACAACACTATATTACCATCATAATACTTGTGTATATATATATATATATATATACAACAAAAACCGGTTTATATTATTAAAAGTTTTGTTTCACTGGTACAAATAATAATAATAATAATAATAGTAAGTACCTAGTGGTACCAAGTGAACCCTTTCACAACACCAGAGGCCACCGATTACGACTTATTCCGTCTTGTAATAACTTTAAACTTAAATGTAGTATACTATTATGTGTAGGATCTGGTGAATCGTCACGGTTGAGTAAACACACTTTAAATACATTAAATGCTAAATAGTTTTACCTTTTATTATTTATTCTTTACGCGCAGATACTATTTATTTTATCAATAACAACTATTATACTTAAAAAGATAATTAATCGGATATCACGTTTTACGCTCTATAAACTCAGGCACGCGACCGCTTACGCACATCAAACTATTATAAACATCATATATACAATTATTCTATTATTATTATTATTATTGTACTACACTAAATTACCAACAAAATTTACGATAAAATATATATCTTTATTATTTTTATCTTTAATTGATTTATTACAAAAAACTACTCTTTATAAAATTATATTTTTTTCAGTGAGTAAATAAATCAATTTTTGATTTTTTGACAATCATTGAATTTATAATTGCATAATTGCATAATTATTTTGGATCGATACTTTAGCGTAGTCAATAATAATAATAATAATAATCATTTTAGTTATATTTGTATCTGTCCTAGTTGTTGAAGAGGATCATTATAATGGTGATGATGATCGATAGACAAAAAAAAAAAAGAGAGAATTGATAGTATATATAGTAATAATGAGAGATAAAGAAAGAAAAGATGTTTCTGTTGTTTTGCAGATCTGTAGGTATAGGTACACCAAGTATTAGGAGGATCGATCGAGCGCGAGCAAGAAAGACCAATTTAATTTTTGTGCTTGATGCACACGCGTTTGCCAAACGCTAAACGCCAAACGCCAAACGACAAACGACAAACATGCATTTTAATCTTCTCAAGTTTATACTAGAGTATATATTATACTATCTTTTTTTATTTTTAAAATTCTCAATTCTGGATAAACTTTGGGGTATGGCCAATAAATTTTAAATTCATTCCTGAATCGGTCACATTGTCCAATAATCCTTTGCTTTTATCCTTTATCTTTTATTTTTTGTCCTTAAAATAAAAACAAACGACTTTTCATTTCCCTCTTATTTTCTCTAGTTTTTTTTTTAAATAATAATAATAATAATAATAATAATAATAAAGATCTTGTATAGAAAATTATTTTTTAAATTGTTTAATTTAGTTTTTATTGATAAAAAAAATTTACAATATTGTGAGAATAAAAATAAAAAAAAAGCTGAATAATGATGGTAATAATTATTTCCAAAGTCAATAAATTTAGATCCACGGCATATTTATATTATATGAATATATTATATACGGATTGGAATGATTAAAAACAATAGAAGCAAGAGTTGATGATTGATATTATTTAGATAGATTTCAGTAGTGACCAAGCCCGTGGAAGTCATGATGGGCCAAGACAACGGGAGCAGGAGCAGCAGCGTGAGCAAAAGCATGTCCGTATCCATGTCCATGTACAGCAGCAGGGAGAACAGTCTTGGTGACAATTGGAGCGACATGTACTTGTGGTGCTACTGCGGGTGCAGAGTGAACAACGTGAGCGTGGGCGTGATGGTCAACATGAGAAAAAACATGGGGTGCGTGAATTGGCCCGAGTCCGTGATCGATGTGAATACCGGTCAATCCTCCGGGTGCTGCGGCAGCTACGGCCAAAACACCGGCAACAACAATCTAAAAGGTAATAGTAATAATTTTTTATTATTATTATTATTATTATTATTATTATTATTATTATCTTGTTGCAACACGCTGTTCAGATAAACTAATAGACATCATGTTAATTAAATCGTTAGTAATTAACATGTCGGAATAGAACCAGATATATATATATATGAGAGTAGTAAATGTATTAAACAATAATAAATATTCTTACCAGCTTGAACATGGTGATAAAATAAAAGTGTAGTTTACTGTTTGGTAGTCAGTAACCCAGTGACAATAGTGTGCAAAGGCGATCCTTTTATACGAATCGATTTTTTTTTTTTTTAAATCACTACAACAACAATTAGTCACGTGGTACCAATGACGACCGAATAGGCAAATGTTGAGTCACCCGATCTCTCAACTAAAGAGTGGGACAATACATCGACCAATCACACTCATTCACACTCTAATCCATATTGTTATTATATTATTACGATCTATTGTTAGTTTATCAACCCCTTTTGGTCGGATAATGTTTTAATAGCAGCAGATGTGTTATGAGGATCACCTAATGAATGAGGACATCCCCTAAATGTCTCTTCATCAATTTGGATTATTATTATAACCAGTGATACTGTCTGCATAAATTATCGATTATTGTTTGCGGATTTGGCTGTGATATTCTGATTATTACATCATATTTAGGAGATCTACAGTATATATTCTACAGAACATATTAACATGTGTATGTATTATGGATACATAATACTATAATCCATGGCCGGTCCACTCTCTTAAAACGCAAGACTCTTTGCTATTCTATATAAATAATAATAGTAATAATAATAATAGTAAACAAGATCGTATATCTCGTAAAATAGTCCAATATGTGGTTTTTCTTATGCTAATTTATTTATATCAGACTGTGATACAAGAAAATATTGCGACAAAACCTTACGTTTTTTCTTTTTTCTTTTATCTTTTGTATGTAGAAAAAATAATAATTCACGTCAATTATTTATATTAAAGAATAATTAATTAATTCAACAACTTTGTATAATTATCTATTGACACAGATTCGAATGACTTTGAACTACAAATTATAATATAAATGAAAAAAAAAATGGAGTAGATAGGATAAAAATTTTTTCTCCAATCTCAAAACAATTTATTTTTTTGCCAGAAAATATGATTGACCCTCTTCAACTTTAGGTAAAAATAATAATAATAATAATAATAATTGTCGATCAGATAACCACTCACCTGTCCAAGGAAACAGCGACGAGGCTGTAGACGGAGGCAGCAACCGATACTCCTTGGATATAGGATACAGTCTTGCACATAAATCGTCCCAGTACCCACGCTGAAAGAATAACAAAATAAAAAAATACAATTTAATACAGTTGATTAAAAAGTTTCAATTATTTTAAGATGATATATTCTGGTAAAATATTAAATATTAAATGTCAGGGAATAAATTTTATAATTATCAAGTTATTCCCATGGAGGAGTAGGTGACGCGGGAAAGGAGCATTGATCTTATGTGAAAGTGAAGGGTTTTTATAAACATAATATAAGTTTACATTTATTATCTAATAATGATAAAATCATGGGTGATTATCAAAATAAAGAAACAAATTTTAACCGATCATAGAATCTTTAATTTTTTTTTCATTTTTTTCTAATATTAGGTACACATTTGTTTGTCTAGTAAATTTTATGAGGAATAAAAATGTTTAAGCACCGACTAAAAGAATAAAACAATCTCAATTGCAATAGTAAAAAAAGAAAAATAAAAAATAAAAAAAATGTATGTATATATACAGGAGCAATAATAAAAAGATGTAGGCGACGAGGGAAAATATGTAGACCCTCATGTCCCACACACTCGGTCCATAAATTTATCTGTTAAACTCTCTTTTCTCTTTTTTATTTTTTATTTTTTCTTTTTGCTATTTTATATCTAATTCTTAACTTTCTGTTACACTATAGAGCAGTAACATATACTCTCGCTTTCTGGACCACATATTCTATATAGATAAATATACATCGAGTTGTTACCTAATATATATATATATATATATATATATCCCATTCAGACAATACTATTTATTTATTTATTTATTTATTTAATAATAGTAAATAATTAAATGTCTTGGGTTGAAGAATAATCTAATGATTACTTTCACAAAAACTATGATGTTTATTATTATTATGAAATTAAACGATAGGTTTGTACTCTTGACATTCCGTAAATACGCAATCGTGCAAAATCGTGCAATCGTTTACACTATACACATGAGATATACAGCCATTTAAATCTTTAAAGATTCTACTGATAACACGTGTACCATCTTATTATAATGACTAAAATTGTTTGATGATAAAGTTAATTAATTTGTCGTAGCTCGAAATAACTGTTATTATATATCGTGCGGAAAGTTTATAGTTTAAGACCTGGTGAATACTGGGTCACTATATGCATGTGGTAGTTAACGGGTTATCGATCTCTGAATAAACCTATTCGTATTTTCAATTTATATAGATATATATATATATATATATATATTAACTCCCCTTTTGTTTTTTCATTTAAGTTCATTAATTAGCAATCAACAGGAAAATTAAATTAAAGAAAATTAAATTGCGTGTATTTAATTAAAATTATATTCAAGTACAAAGTTTGTTAACAAAACTAAAAACTTTGAAAAATGTTTAGTGGAATGTGGAAACTAAACTCTCCAACTCTTACAGTATAGTAGTATAGTAATTTATAATTTATAATATAATATAATAACACATCTCTATTCAAAGTTTTACATGTGGTTATTAAAATTTAATTTTCGTTACCAATTACAATTTTATTTTTGTTACCAATAAACTTAATAAATTACCAAGATTTATATAATAAGAATAAAAGTAGGCCAGTAAAAATTAATGTTTGGATATGGATCCACAAGTGTGAAGAAAATGGATGCTTTTGAATTTATAAAAATATTGATGATGTGATATCAATGATATGAATATTCAGGCGAGCAAAGTATAAATAAATCACGAGTATGATGAGGATAAAACTGATAAAAAGTAATCTTTGGTAATTCTATTGGTGATATGATAGTATTACCTCTCTAGTGAGATGATAAAAAAAAAAAAAAAAAAAAAAAAAAAAAAAACTAAAAAATTATACAGCCGTAAACTTTTTATCCTTGAAGAAAAATCTAAGCCGCATCTTCTGATCGTAAGACTATATCTTTGTAAAACTTTTTAAAAAGAATAAAGTCTGTTTCTTTTCCCGAGAAAAAATTATTATGGTGACCGCTCAACTAACAAACTAACAAAGTATTCTCTGATATATATATATATATATATATATATATATTTATCAACTAAAAAAGAGCCAAGTGACAAAAAGTTAAGGAAGGATTTAGTAAGGCTGTGCGGCCCGGTATATATCAACAAAGAGTAAAGAGTAACGAGAGGTAAAATGCAGAATGTATCGATCACAGAGAGAGAGAGAGAGAGAGTTGAGAACGAGTCGACGCCCTCGACATCCTCGACATCCTCGACACCCTCGACGAGCCGATAGGTGTTCCACAGGGGAGTTGAGGTGGTTGAGGTAGTTGAGGTAGTTGAGGTATAGCTTTAAATCTAGCAGCACATCTACTTGTCGACGGCTAAAGGACCTTTCTCACTTGGGACACTACGTCTATTCGATTAATTCGATATAGCTCTCAAAAATAAATAAACAAAAAATATACTTTTCTAATAATAATAATAATAATAATAATAATAAGGTTAAAAATTTAAATTATGAGTAATGCGGTTAAAAGTGTCAACAGATCGTGATGCATGACAAAATCAACTACTTTGTTCTTTATCCGTATTTTAAATTCATAGTTTGAATAGTACACAATGGATTTTATACTTTTATACTTTTATACTCTTATATAGTGCTGAGAACTTTAAACTCGGAGGAGTATTATCCATTACCTGTTAAATTCTTCATTATTTTCAATAGTAAACTCTTTAATCCACTTTTTAAAATTCTTTTAAGATATATATATATATATATATATGTATTATCTTTTTCAAGCAGAGATTATCACTCTGTCAGGATAATTTTTATTTTCAGTATCTAATTTTAAAAAGTTTTAATATAAAAGAGAGATATTTTTTATCGTTTAATAATAAAATCAAAGACAATAGGAACGTCGAGTAGAAGATTAATAAGACAATAATGCCGCAGTGATTGCCGATGAGCGGAATTATACTGAATGACGCGAGAATGAAATGAGATTATATATAGAATCAAAATTCCAGTAAACATTTTATTAAACGTTCTAATGGAAATTCAATGTCTCTCCCTTATTAATCTTTGGCTTTGGTGTAGGACTATTCGTATTGGTGGTGTTGGTATTGGCCTTGGCCACCCAGTTAAATGCTAAATCACATCATACCCTAGGTGACATACATTCACATTAACACATTAATTCTATACACACCAACATAAGATTGAATTGCGAGTAAAGACACAGCACTTTTATAATAATAATAACTATAATATAAAAACAACACGTTGTTAAACTGACCGAGACCTTGAATATTTATATTTATAAAACCAAAACCAAAACTAAAATTATCACTTGGCCGTGAATCAACAATCTTTTTATCCTTAGATACTAAAACTTTAAAACTACCACTTACTTTCTATATACAATACCGCAACAATTTCATGTTTCCGACTATTTTATTTTTATTTATATCTACCCACCAACAGATATACCGATACATGAATGTGTTTTATTTTTTTAAATTTTCTACTACATCTGCCAAAAACTATTCAATTACCAAACTTTTCACATATATATTATAAATAAAATACAATAATTAAACTTTGATTCATGCGTGCGTATGGGATTATTTAAGTTAATATAAACTTTTTCTTAGAAAGAAAAAAAGTAATTTTTTATTGTTGTATCATAATTGGAATATTCCGTATCTAGTTTTAAAAGTTTAAAATAAGGAAAAATCCTGGATAGAATATCTAATACCGTGATTTATTGTCGATCAAACTCCAGACTCAAGGAAAAGTATCAACTCGTGCAAGGATGTCCGTACTTGTGAATATAAAGTAGTCGTAAATTTATCAATTTTTCCCAGCAACAAACAAATTTAATAGAGCCACCAACTTGCTCAATTTATCAAATTAAATAAAATAATATTAAATCAATAATCTTTGAATTCTTAAATTGGTGAGAAAGTATAGGTATATATACTCTGTTCTCATATACATGAGAATGCGTCTGATCGAATAGGTGGTTACTCCACTGGGAGTATTTTCAAAGCTAAGACAGCAGACTGAGATGGACCAGTTGGCTCTCCCCAAAGGAAAGGACCAACTTTGTCGTCAACACCTTCTTGTGTTTAGGCTTTAAGCTCAAGATAATTATCAATTAATCTCTGGAGAGTGTAGTGTGGTCGTTGCGGAACAACACACTCACTTTTGAGATCTCAAAGGGCCACACTTAACCAACTTGACATCGCTAAACGTTTTATCGGTAGTTATCGAGTTGATCCACTTTTTTTTTTTTTTTTTTTTGTTTTTAATCCATCATATAGGTGATAATTATCGACTAGACCTACTTCCTATCAATAGTCACTAAAACGCTTTTGCTAATTCTTTTAATAATAAAAGAAACTATATATTAGGTATTAATTCGATAAAATATAAACTCGATCATAAATAAAATTCGCTTTAAATAAAAACATGAATAAAAATGTTTAAAAAAAAAAGGGGGGCGGGGGGGGGAGGGGAAAAGCTGCTTTAAATTATACTTATATTGTGTATGATATTACTCTTAGACATTAGCCATTCAAAAGATTAAAGTCTCATTCAAATATATTTATACATTTATATAGGTTATTCTGCAAGAGAGTTTAAGATTTATCAAGTGCGAGGATGATATTATATTTAAAAAAAAAAAAAACGAGGAGATAAAGAAAATATTATGTAAAATGGTACAGCCTACGAAGTATATTTTGGTAGAAGCTGCGATAGGGGTTATATATTATATACATATAAAAGTATAATCGTTAGGCGCAGACGCGTTGCACCTTTCTGAGGATACTGCCCCGGTTTCAAATGCCTTCAAGGTTTTGCCGATCCGGTATTGCTGCTCATACTGCTGGTATATTATATATTATATATGTAATATATATACCATCATCATCCATCCATCCACAATCCACATAGAAACCCTCGCGACCTTATTCTTTAGTTTTCACAGTATCAATCTATCAATAATCGATTGATTATTATTATTATTATTATTAATACATAATAATTATCTTAGGAGATGTATATGTGTTGTTTTTTTTTAGATTGATCGAGTGGTTTATTGTAAATTTATAATTTAAATTAAAGAGATATAGATAGTAATGTCATAGCTATCGTTCAATGATTGATTACCATTTGAGATTGGATATGGAAGCAAATTAGTGACAAATATACATCTATAGCTATTTATAGGGTTATGCATAGACAATAGTAATAAATTTACAGTATCCGGGCGGTGCTGGCATGGGCAAACGACCGAACATAATCAAATTCGACATAAATATTAATTGTGTGAATGTTGACCAGTTTTGCCGCCGAATTTTAACCAGTTTACCTGAATTCCTTCTCCTATAACTATTTCAACCAACAGCAGACTACACTTGAATAAATGCGACAGTGTTAAATCAAAATTTGAATCTGATGCAGAAACAGAAACAGAAACAGAAACAGAAACAGAAGCAGGAACAACTGTCTGCGACCTAGATACGTAATTATCTTTTCACGAGGCACGACCTTGAAGAGAGCAAGTATATAAACTAGGCCATGTCTCCGTCTGTCTACCTAGCGCGGCCTACCGCGACCCTTCTGCTTATTTTACCAGCCCACCACCCACTCACCTACATCAACCCCCTTCCTCCTTTACCTCCTCGTTGCACCAGAATCAAAAGCATCAACCTACAACTTATCCATCCCTCACCCTTTTATGCCCTTTTACCCTTTTATATATCTTCTTAAATAATTCCTCTTAGTTTAACCAAAATAAAATTTATCAATCTTTAAATAATAGACAACTCTGTGATGATGACAATCCTCAGCAATTCTATCTTTTTAACTTGTACAAACGACTAAAGATTAGAGTTTAGAGTTTAAAGTTTAGAGTTTAAAGTCTAGAGTCTAGAGTCTAGAGACTGGACTACTAGAGTTAAACCCAGTGAAAGAAAAAAGATTAAGAGTTTTTAAAAAATAAAATAGTCATCAGAAGGATGCTTGATGATTTTCTTCCAAGACTCTCATCTCATAAAAATACACATACATATATATATATATATATATATATATATTTTTAATTATAAGAAGAAAAAGTTACGAAATTTATTATTATCAATAAATCTTTTATAATAATAATAATAATAATAATAATAATAATAATAATAATTGTTTGTTAATAAAATGTCAGTGCAATTTGATCTAGTGACCTAGATATTATTGTAGATAATAGAAGAAAAGAATTTAAAAGGGTACCGCTGCGATAGCCTTACCACCAGGCGAGGAAGATCAATGTTCCCATTCCATTGGATTATTCTGATATTACGATACTATCATGATGATATTAGTTATGATGATATACCCGAGGTATACTGTCAAAAATATATCAAAACACGCACATATGAGAATTCTATTGGACGAGCAGGGCTGATGATTCCAACAAGATTAATAACGATCCGTTCCAACAACGGTTGAATACTCGAGATTCTTCAGACACCAATACTCTTGTTTATTCCTTCCTTTATATTTATATCCTACTAATACTATAGTCCTATAGGACTATCCGATTCCATTTTCTCTTCTCAATGCTTTTACAGTTATCGTAGGTCAGAAACTAGTAATTAATTTAAATAAAAATTAATTGTTAGTTGCGTACATAGGGAATTAATAAAAAGTTAAATAACATTTAGTGTTTAAAAGACACGCCTTTGGTGTATTTATGTATATATAAAATAATCAAGTGTTAGCAAAGCAGGAACCGGCACAGTGCAGCGACGTGACAACAATATATATATATATATATATATATATATATATATATTAGAATGTATACAACAACAACTACCCCTGGTTGTGGTGATGGTACTGGTACTGGTGCACATGACCGGGTCATGGGAGTTGGCTGCACACCTTTCTACCCCTTCTATTAGTTTTATCGTTGGTACTACAACAGCTCCTACTATACTACGGGTGGTAGTATTTTATTCCAGCAGCCAGCAGCCAGCAGCCAGCAGCCCACAGCCAGCAGGGCACACAGGTGTGTGAACTAGTGATCTAGGTCAGGCGAGAGTGTTGGCCTCTTATTCGCCTTGACACACTTTCAGGTTATCTCTATACACCTACTACCAACCTACAAGCTATAACCACCCCCTTACCTGGTATCCCTAGCTCCCTGGCACCCACAATCCGTACCTACCTTTTTTATAATCATTATTTTTATTTAAATTCTCTCTATATTTTATTTATTATTCATTTTACCAGTGTTACTATTTACCAACAATTAATAGACAACAAAAACTCATATCTCTATTATTATTTATACTATTGTTATCATCAAGAGTATTACGCTTTAATTTAAATTAACCTCAGTTTTGTTTAATTAATCCATTGTTTTTTTTATTTAAATATAATTAATCATTTATCGAATAATCTTTAATATTCATTGAAATTAATTTTATTTATTACTGCGGAAAAAAATAATTTCAGATTTAAATAAACAAAATATACGAGTATTATTATTGATACAATGAGAAAAAGGTGTGCTGTACTCGGCAGAGTTTTTTAATAATAATAATAATAATAATAATAATTATAACAAACAAAAAAATATTTTTTTATCTTTTTGTTGATTGTTTTTTTTTTTATTTAAATAACCATCGGGTATTTGATGATGCAAATACATGGATGCGACACGTCATTTTGGTCGAATG